TGTATAGAAGATCACTCGGGAACACTGCAATCACAAACCCGTTGCTTCTCAGCTCAAGTGCGTGCGAGTCGTTCTAGCTGGCTGGGGCACTACAAAGCACGACGATCTCTCACCCGCACGAAGCAGTCGTGGAACGCCAGCCGAAGAACTCCGGGTGCAACGGTCATGTTTGTCTTATAGGATTGAGCCATGGACTTGTACACGATGGTCTCGACTTCGGGACAGCTGTTACGATAGAACCCGACCTCCAGTCCCTTGTGAGCTCCTGCTGGGATGATTAAATTCATGACGATGGCGATGGCGATGGCGATCGTGATGAAGATCGCCAGGAAGCCCGTTGAGGCCCACCTCCCCATCGTACCAGAAAGAATCGGTGCACTGATGGGCTGGTGGAAATATGTACAGCATCGAGTTTGTGGCTATCTAGCGCTGATCTCGGAATAAGACGCGCACGGAGGAGCTTCGGAAACTCGGAGCTGCTGATACCCGAAACTGGATTTTGATTCGCTCGCTGTGTTGAACTGGGGTGTCGTTCAACGTGGATCCGCTTTCGCTTCCTGCAGAAACTCCGGGAGTCGTCGGTCGCCGACGGAGGGATGAACGCGAGAGTGCTGACCGAGCTGAAGGTCGAGGTCGATCAGGTGAGAGTGGTGTGGGCTGTGAAGAGACGGGCGCTGCTTCTCATATGGGCATGCGCGTGGTGTTGGGGGAGTGGACAAGTCGAGCGTTTCGGGATGCAAAGAAAACGGCGCATCGCGGGTGACGAGCTTTGCGCGTTCCGATTCCACGGTCAGCGCACGAGACCGCCGTGGCAGCGGGGAGGCTGAGAGTATAACCAATTCGAGTGTGCGAAGGAAATCCCAGGCCGACGCGTGTGCGTACCAGACACTGTTCGTTTGTGGCGTCACAAAAGTTTGGGAGTAGGCGAAGCCGGGACGGGAAAGAGCAGTGAGTGGAGAGAGGCGACGGTTAATCAGTATAAGATCAGTCCGAAGTCATGCGCGAGAAAAGTAGAGGCAGATGTTGTCTGGACCCCTGAACTCATGAGCGGCTGCTGTTCAGGGCGGCGGTCCCCCTAGCGAGTTAGCACTCGCGGAAGCTGAAGAGGATGATGCTCGGAGCCCCCCCTGACAAGTTCTTCACATGCAATTGAATCTCTCATTTCAGTCTCGAAATCACGTTGACACACGGTCTCAATTCTCAATGAGCATATGGGAATATTGGTGTTGAACAATACAGTGTTGTCGGGAGGACTCTGATTGTACGTGTATTTTCCACTCACATAGAATATGCTATTCTCTTTTTATCATGTATCATACAATTCTTAAGAAAATAATAATTAATTAATTAATGAACTTTTGGTTCAAATTTTTACTTGTATTAACTTATGGATCCACTTTAATACGGGTTCTTATACAGTTGTCTTCTAGCTAAGTATTATCATCCTTTGCATTAGCAAGTGGTAAATTCAATAAATGAATCATAGGATATTGAATTGGTTAATTTTGACTTATGATGAAATCATGTGATTAGTTTTCATCGAGGGGGTGTCCACCAATCATTTTTTTTTGCAAAAATAATGAAACACAATCATGTTCTTTGTAAATTAGTATCAACTCATGTATCCAATCCTCTGCTCACCTAATTCACTTCTGTTCTTTCTCTTATTGTTTTAATTTATTGTATCAGTTCTTACATGAGTTAATTTGTGATAGCCAATGAAATTCATTCAACTATCAGATATTATAGATTATTAATCATGCATCATATAACAAAGTTTGTGCCCCAAATTTTGATTAAAAGTTGGAGGTTATTAGTTTTTAGGGAGTGAATTATCAAGAAAAAAATTGTGAGTTTTTGATTAAAATAAAACTTCAGCTTCAGTTATTTTGTAATTGCTGTCAGAAAATAAGACTATAAGAGTATTGGAATGCGAAATAATTGACAACTTAAAAATAAAAAGAGTTTTTTTTAGTTAGTTATTTTTGAGATGTAAAATAAAAAATAACAATTATCATACATTAGACCAATAATTTGTTTAATTAGAAATATTTTTTATTTAGATTTTAAAAAAATAATATGAGTTGTCTCTAATACATCTCATTTATTATTTAGTACTTAACTTGCTATAAAAGCTAGAGTTGATATTAAAATATTTAAATTTTTATAGTTCTAAAATTAAAAAAAGAATATAACTCTACCTAAACCTTTTAATTAAAACCAAACTAATGTAATTAATTGAACTAATAAGAGGATTTTGTACTAGTAAAATATCTTTATTTCTTTTCAAATTTTATACTAATAATATAAAATAAAAATTAGTCTAAAATAACTAATTTATAAATCTAAAAAATAAAAATATTTATATATTAATTTATAATAGGAATTATATGTATATGTATATATAGAGAGAGAGAAACCTTAGTAAAAATAAAATATAATAAACCATAAGAAAATAACTGAAAGTATAATATTTACTAAAAGTATATAAAATAATTAGCAAATTTTATATAATTTACATAAACTAAGCAAAATTGATGCGGACAAAAATATTTTGGAAAGATTCAATTATTTTAAAGATATAAAAAATTATTAATATTTATTATCATAAGAAAATTAAACTTTTTTTTATTAAATCATTGATAGAACGTCAAATAAAAATACTAAAAAAAAATTTGTTCCAATTATACAGAAAATATGTTTAAAATTAGCATTTCTTATTTTATTCTTATAATAATTAGTGTAAGAATATGTCAATTTAAGTTCTTTTATACATAAAAATTAAATTACTAATAAACATTATCTAATTCAGTGTTAATAAGATTTTTAAAAACCGTATTATTTATTTATTTTACATATAATGTACTTATTTTTTAATATATATTATTTAATATGGTTTAAGAATTTAATTTCTTCATTTTTGTGATATATTAACTATATATTTATAAATAAGATCATGCATTAATGATTAGAAAAAATCATTATTTTTCATAAATTCTAAAGATATAAATATATCATATAAATATGAAAGAATAAGTTTTTAATATAGAATTTTCATGAAATAAATTATAGATAAAAAATTGAAGGAAATATAATTATTTTATGATTATATATATATATATATATATATATATATTTATATATATATATTTATATATATATATTTATTTATATACATGTATATTATGTTAAATAGATTAAAAATTAAGAATCTTAAATCTATAATTACAATTTATAGAACTTCTTGTTCAAAATCTTGAGTTTGTATTTTGCAATTAAAGCTCTTAAAATTGTACTTTGAGTTGTGAATAAAATCATAAATTATTTTATCATAGGTACATTTTATAGAAATAAAGCATAATTTTGGATGATATCTTTGACAAAAATCCATAGACAGCTCTAATAGATTGTGTTCACTATAGCTACTTAAGATTTGAATTAGCTTGTAGATGAAATAGCAATCAATTCTTGCAAAGAAATGTAAAAATGCAAACACTCTACATAAGTTTGTTTACATTGTTGTACCAACTTCCAATAGTCACAATCTTTAAAATATATCTACATAGAATATGCTATTACAAAAAAGTCATTTGTAATGTCAATGTCTTTTTAATTTGCAAAATTTACAAAAACAAAAAATAAAATATTATTTCTTAAAAGAAGGAAGTGCAATATTATAATCTATTTTTTTATCAAAAAGTATGGTGTGTGATCTAAAAACATATCTTTTCAAGAGAAATAATACAAAATCCATCTATGTTGTTTCACAAAGAAAGAATAAAGTAAGATTTTAAAATATTGCATATAATAATAGAGTAGAATAAGATTTGAAACTCATATATTAATGGAAGATTTAAAATTGAGAGAGTAGTACAAGATAAAAATATATTATCCATTAAAAGAAAGTAATCCAAAACATACAAAACAAAATTGACAACACATTTGTATTGAACAATTAACAATTCAAACATTTAAAAATTAAAGACAACACTAATAGAACTTTGAAATAATACATAACATAAGGTTGTAAAAATTGAACACAAAGATGACAAAAACAACAAAATCTAGGCATTCCATTATTTAAGTAAATATAAATATAATGATTTGTGTTGTTGACTCAATAATTCAAGTGTTATTGTCAATAAAATTTGATACTTGTTAATACTTGTCCTTGGCTTGCAACCAATCCCAAGCCACCAAAAATAGCAAAGAGTGAGACTAAACTAGATAGTTATCAATATTCAGCAAACATCAACAAAACTTTGAAACAAGAGGGGAGCATTATGATGGGGCTCCAATGAAGAATCTCCTCCCCCCTTCTACTTGCATGGCATTGTAAAGGATGTGACCAACTTCAAAAGATTATATTATGCAAGTGGAAACCCATATTGTTGGCCACAAAAAAAAGTAGACAACGACAAATATGGGTTAATTTATTTATTTGTTGGGAACTTCCAAACTCCACTCCTAATGATCTTGCAATGCTATTCTTTGCAATCTACAACAACAACATGCAAATTTTGATCTTTAATTGATCAAAAGTTGAATTAGTGCTTCACTTTTGATGAAAACAATGAGATAGGTTTTTGTTTCCTTTGGTTTATCCCTCCTAAACTGTTTTATATAAAAGATTCTTTTATATTATATTTTTGTTGATCCAGTAGCAGTCCGCAGGGGCATCTCGAGCATGTTAGGTGCTTAGAGTTCATCCGACGGATGTACCACGGACACTGAGTCCCCATGTCCAAAGCGGGGGTTTTTGGGTTTAAGATTTAACCGTAGTGCCGGCGATCCATCGCGGATGGTGGTCAAGGTTGCCAAGGGACAACAAATGGCTACTGACACATGCAACCAAATCAGCGCTTGCATGTAACGCACATGTTTGTTCCATCCACTATCATGTCACAGATCGGTGCCGAAGCTTTCAAAACTGAAAACACCATGAAACCAGCATTCCCTGTCGGTGATGCATCAGCTCCATATTACAAAAATCTGGGGCATGGAAAATTTGGGTGATGGGTTTACAGAGCGAGCTCGGTAGAGCACTGTATGCAACAGCAGCAGAGTTGGAAACCTTATCTGGATCCCTCACATCCGGTTCCCGCGAGAACGGGGCCTTTTTCCGGGAGTTCGAGTGGGGTGGGAACTTCGTCTCTTTCCTGAGATTTTATGGTTTGTGGGAGATATTCGTGTCTCACTGTGTCTCATTGTTGTGCTGCAGCCCAGGATTGGGGCTATGGTGCATGGAGCTTGCTTTGATGGGTCCCGTGCCCAGCTACCGCTTGCTGCACTCTCTGTTCTTGCCTCCTCTCCCCTACCCTTCCACCATATGCCTCACAGCTCGAAGAGCTAGCAAATGCACTCCCATTTGGAGAGCTTCGTCTGTGGTGGAGATATGTGGACGACCATGTGACCAGGGCTACTTGGCCGTGCCTGGACGCGTAGGGATGTTTAGCGTCCGTTGTGGGATGCGATTTTACGGTGGTTTTGGCCGCGGGCCTGTGGGGGATGTAGCCCGGAGTGGAGTCACGTGCATTAGAAACTCCAGGACAGATCATGGTGTTGTTGGCAGCTCCTGGACCAAAGAAAGTGATGGTTCCGCTTCAGTCAAGGGCGCTGGTATGGAGCAAGAGAGGACTGATAGAAGATCTTCGCCCTCGAAATCTGCTGGTAGGTGTCTGAATTATGAATCCTTAATCCTGGTCGCACACTCCTCACTTGTCGAAAAGGTTGGAGGAGATAGCAGGGTTTAAGCTTTGAGAGTTGTTTGTGCATTGTTTTCGGAATGTACATTGGATTCAAACAAAGAATTTGTGACGGGCAATTCGAGCTTTGGATTGTGATGGGATAAGATTGGTGAGTTATTACATGCGAATGATAATCTAATTACAGCGCACACTTCGCAGCCTCAAATTACGAAAGAGTCAGCCAAAGAGTGCTGGGTAGCTGAGCACCTTATAGTATTCCGAGTATTTCAATTTTCCTGAGTTTCTTCCTGGGTTTTATGCCGCACCTGATCTTTTCTTCATAAGAAAATGAGATGCTTAATATTGAAAGGAGTTGACTTAAATTTCCGTTGAATTATCCAAGTACATGACTTAATAGATGCGGCTGCAAGGGTTTTCTGGAGTCCCTTGTCATGCTAAGCTGCTGAAGAAATTGGATGCTTTGTTCCCAAAATGATTGGGTTTTGTGCATACTTCATTCGAACTTCGAGTTCCTGTATGAGAAGCCGATGTGTATTTGTCTGTGCAGAGAGTTGTGACCTGCATTTTTCGATAGTATTTGAGATATATGGTGCCGCTTACTGCTGTTGCTGCGTCACTTGCGAGGTCTTAGTTGAAGGGTTTAGGGTTTTAGGGTTTTAGGGGCTTGATGTAGGTCATATCTGGGAGTTGGAATGATTCTGTTTTGCGGATCCATTATCTGTTTGGGCGTCATTGGCGATGCGCACCTCCCTATACAATTCGAAATTGGCACTAATAGGAATTACTATGTAGCTTGTCGATGAGTCTGATACTCGTGATATGAAAGACCATCTCAGTACATAACCAATGGAATATCAATGGTTTGTTATAGATTTTCACGTGTGATTTCAGGAAATGTGAACAATAACACAGAGGACAACAAGGACTCAAGCCACAGGACTAAGCAAAACTTTGGCAAGCCCAGGTCCAAATTCGATGCTCCCAGGTCCAGGCCGGAGCATAGCGGTCGAGCGCAGCATTCAAGCAGCCGTTCGTACAATTCTAGTAGTCGAGCAAAATCGTCTGGTATACCCTTTTTGTCTGTTTGCCTACTTGTAGTATACATGAGTTAATTCATACAGCTTGGTACTTCACCTTTTGGGTACCTCTTCATTTGATGCATTATTTACTGTAGTTGGCATGTCTCAAAGAGCGGGTGCAGGGTACAGATGGAAGAGATGTGCGTATTGATAGTAAAACAAGTATGGCTCAGAATGGCAAAAATCATGGAACACCTGATTCCAGTTATGCAAAGGGTGGCAAGCAGCCCCGGGCTAAGAATAAACAATATGCACCTGAGCAGGACCTTCGCAGAGCGCTTGATATGTGCTCAAAACATGCAGATGTGAAGCAGGCATTAGAGATTTACGACAAAACCTGCAAGGAAGGCAAAATAGCTTTTAATCAATATAACTACAACATTATACTATACCTGTGTTCCTCAGCTGCAACTGATTCGTTGAAGCCGCAGAAAAGTGGCAACGAAAGACGAGGTGAGTAAAAGTTCACTTTATTGTGCCAATTAATCATCTCGTGTAGCAATCACCCTTGTCGTAGGTTGTTAATTTACTGCAATTACAGAATTTTCTGTTTACTTAAAGTAGTATACTTTATTAGTATCATTTCTTACAAATGTAGGCTCTCTAGGTTAAGCCAAGAAGACTATTGGGCGTCTTTGATGATAATAGTGATTGTGTGCACGAAACTGAAATGTGTACCAGGGAGTGAGCAGGTGAATCACAATCGCGGTCCCCTTGATCTTAGCGGCATAGTCGAATCCAAGAATGAGGCACTTACTGAGCCAAAGAAATTGGAGGAAGAGCAAAGGATTTTATACATGAAACGAGGGTTTGAGGTTTATGAAGCGATGAAATCTCAAGGTGTGCCTCCAAACGAAGCCACGTTTACTGCCGTAGCTCGACTTGCTGTCGCCAAGGAGGATGGAGATCTTGCCTTTGATATGGTCAAGCAGATGGCAGAAGCTAATCTGTCTCCCCGGTAAACGTTGTGTGCCTCGATTCACAATTATTTCTACAGACTGCTTAATAATGATTTAAATGCATAGAATTACAGGATGCGAGCAGCATCATAGTTTAACCAGTGCTTCTAGGCTGCATACGTTGCATACACCTCATTCTATATACTGTGAGGTTACCAAATTAGGGGTTTTTAGAACTCCATTTTTTCATGTGCCTTCTTATTATTATTGAAGAGTTAGTTGCCAAGATAGATTTGCAAGCTGATCACGTTCAAGTGCCCAGGTTCCTACGGAATGTATGTGCCCTAGAACTATGTGTAGTTTTGTGATTTCTGACTTTATTTTTGTTGCTGCAGCTTAAGGTCATATGCCCCAGCTTTATACACCTATTGCAAATTGAAGAATCATAAGAAGGCTTTCGAGGTTGACGACCACATGAAAAAAAGTGGTGTCGCTCTAGAAGAAAGTGAACTAGAAGCATTGTTGAAGGTAAGTGTAGGTGCAGGGCTTGAGGACAAAGTGTACTCTCTCCTGCATCGTTTACGGACAACAGTGAGGGATGTCTCTCCATCCGCTGTGGAGGTGATTCAGCAATGGTTCACAAGCAGTGCTGCTGCAACTGCTGGCAAATCAAATTGGGAACATCTTCCAGGTCCAGAGTATGTTAAGAAAGCCACTGAAAGCTGTGGAGGCGGGTGGCATGGATTAGGATGGCTCGGGAGGGGCACTTGGGAAGTTAAGTCCAGTGTTGTTGATGATCACGGTGTTTGTCAGGAATGTGGGGAGCCTTTGGCTACAATTGACCTTGATCCACAGGAAACAGAGATGTTTGCGCAGTCTTTGTCAAGGATGGCGTGTCAGCGAGAGGCTAAAAACAACGAATTCAAGAAATTCCAAGTACGAGTTAGTTTCACAGAAATTATTTTTACGTTTTGAAATCTGTCTTCTGGAAGTGCTAAGTCTGGAGCTTTTGATACAATTATTTTTCCATGCTGTAGCTCAGAATTTTGGTGTTTTAAGAGCAGACTGGTAACCATTATTTTATTTTATTTTATTTTATTGTTTGGAGATGGGGGGGGGGTTTAATAGGGATAACATGTTGCGTCTTGAATGTCACAAATTTCCATATAAAATATGTTTTCATCTTGTATGGGATTCTGAGATGGTGATCATCCACTTCACAGAAAAGTACAAATTGCTTCCAAAGCGTGGCAGAATATTGTCAAGATTATTCCGTGGTGTTGCGTATTTTTATAGTTTAGTTGCCTGCAGGCTGGTTATGAATTTGTCTGAGGATAATAACGCTTAGTTTTGGATATTATTTGTGAACTTTCCTACAGGGATGGCTTGATCGGCACGGACCCTTTGATGCTATTGTGGATGGAGCTAATGTGGGTCTTTACAATTCAAATACTCCAAATGGCGGCTTTAATTTCTACCAGGTAGATTTGATAGTGATCATTCAAGGATATTGTGCAGTTTGCTTAGAAGGTTTAAATTGATTATCTTGTAGTATTTTGATTCAATGCCAATGACAACAGTGGTATCATAAGGTGAATTTCCACATGATGGCATGCGGATAATTTATGTGCATCTTCAATCGCATGATCTCACAACTCAAACTTTTATGCAGCTGAACAGCGTGGTGACTGGGATTCAAAAGAGGTTAGGATTGAAGAGAGAACCACTTATTTTGTTACATCACAGACGAACGAAAGGCGGACCAGCAGATTCTTCATTTGCTGCAAGGATGCTTAGTAACTGGAAGGAAAACAACTCCATTTATACCACCCCGACTGGGTCCAACGATGATTGGTATGTGTGAACATGTTTCTCATCTTATTTGTTCTTCGTTAACAGCTAGCAGATACTCTTCAGAGGCTCATGAACGTCATCGTGGGCTGGTTGCTCATCTTCTGGACGAAGTTTCAACTATAATCGTTTGTTTTAATGTAGTGATTCCATCATTGATATCGAGCTTGGCATGCTGCAGGTATTGGCTGTATGCAGCAGTACGGTTCAGGTGTGTGCTTGTGACAAATGATGAGATGCGAGACCACTTATTTTCCCTTCTAGGAAATGATTTTTTCCCAAAATGGAAGGAACGCCATCAGGTAGTGGATTGATGGATTGTTGGATCCGACGACATTTTGATTTCTTCCAGTGCTAACTCCAACGCTGCAATCCCGTTTCAACTTTATTCTGCTTAGGACCGCGAGATTATAGCGATTTACTTACACGATGAGTTGCTTCACGGGTTTTCAGGTTCGTTATACGATCAACAGGGAGGGCCTTGTTTTTCATATGCCACCGCCATTCTCTACTGTGATTCAGGTACAAGTCTCTGCATTGGTCTTTCTTGTCATCAAATAATTTTTGGCTCATCATACTGGCATAGATCTAGGTTAATTATTGTCGTGATTTTAACTGCGTATAAAGTGCGATCTTCTGATAATGCATTTGGTAACTACATGGTCATCCAGGAATCTCATAAAGGATCATGGCATGTTCCAAAAAGTGGTAAGAATGATGAGGACGTGTTGGTGCCCAGGGAGTGGTTGTGTGTAACACGAACTGGTCACTTGGCTCGTAGTGACACGAAATCAGAGGAAGAAATGATTGCTAGTCCCAACATCACACGAGAATCATCTCTAAGTGAGGTCCAGGCAGAAGCGGCAATTAATTCAGAATTGAAGGGCATTTCTGTTCCTAGTGAGGGAATTCAATCTCCTAAACCACGCAAGTCACGCAAGTCTACTTCCAAATCATTATCCAAGTCTTCTCCTGAGTCTTCCGCTTTTAAATCATCAGAGGATGGAAAACTTGCAGGTAATATAGAAAATGAGGTCGTGCAGCTTGCAACTAAGGTTGAAAAGCTTGCAGGTGATATAGAAAATGAGGTTGTGCAGCTTACAACGAAGGTTGAAAAGCTTGTAAGTGAGGTTCAGGCTCAGACTGAGACTATTTTAGAATCCAAGGATGTTACTATCTCTGGTGAGGAAATACAATCTCCTAAACCACGGAAGTCACGCAAGTCTTCTTCCAAAGCATCGTCTAAGTCCTTAATACATCATCCATCAGAGACTGGAATGCTTGAAGAACAGTCTACTGCTCCACAGAAAAGGCGATCGATATCGAAGAAGGCACGTTCACCCAAGTCCGCTTTGTTACAAAAACTTGAAGCGGCAGATGAGGATAGCTCTGGAAAGCCCATAGATTTTCAAATTTAATATCATAGCTGAAGTTCATCAGAGGCAATCCGTTGTTTCATTCTGAAAAATCAGTGGAGCATTATACTGCACCAGATGATTCTAGAAACGTAACAGCGATGTGGCTGAAAAGCATGAAGTTTCGACTTTGGTTTGAAACCTGTGAGAAAGCATTCATCTGTAGAAACAAGTTAGGAAGCCGCTAGTAGTGATGGAATTTGTAGAAATCTTTGAAAACATATGATTTTTACATAAGTGTTGTGGGGTTTGGTCGAGTGTCTTTAATTTCGAGAGCATTTTCAAGGCTTTTGATTTCATATTAGATGGATTGCGTGTCTTATCTTTAGCTACTTTGAGGCAATGTATAAATGTAGGTGTTGGATAAAAGACGAGGCTGGAATCTTCCCAGCCCAGCTTAACTAACCTCCAAGACTTTCGATGCATTGTTACTAGCAACAGAACTGCTGGTCTTATGTCCTAACTTGGGACAAATATGAAAATGAATTCTACGACTGCACCCTGAAGATCAATAGGAAACAAAGGGTGAAAAGAACACAACCAATATGAAAGGTTAGCTTAATGCTCGGGTACACAATTCAATATGATCATCCAACAAACCACTGCTACTCCCCACAGGAATATAACACCATTTTGAGTCCACTTCTGAAGAACTCGGTTTAGATTATTGTCAAGGTCATTCCTCATCCCGACCAAGCCTCACTACACCGACATGGGCAAAATGTGAGCTACAGAAAAGCTGCCAGGCTCATAGGACCCTTAGGGAGTAAAAAGTGAACTGGTGTATATTATGAACAAAAAGTAGCCGCTTAAACGGAGACAAATACATGTATTTAACCATATATCCAGATTGATATTTAGACAACATTCAATGTCGGGACTCAATGAAAGTAATTCGTAGAAGAGGCAGGGTCAATGTTCGGAATTTACATTGATCTTTGGCGTGAATAGGCTAATTCAACGAGATGAGAATATTTTAAAGAAGCAGGCGCAAGCTTTGGAGTCTCCTGAGTACAAGAAAGTGGAATAGAAAGGTAAAAGATTGCTTTGAATATTCTGTACGAGGGCCTCTATGCATGAAACAAAAGAAGGTGTGCGGACAGGTAGTTCAACTTCGAAGTTCATCAATATTTCAGGTGTAGGGCCAATACAATGTTGCTGGAAGTTTAACCAAAGATTCTGTGAAGAAACTAGTTCACCAGGAAGCTCAAAGCTCTGAAGGTGAAGGTGCCGTTGTTGCACAAAACTCCGCTGATTTGCAAGGTACGACACGTGTTCTGTGCAGAATATTTTGCTTTACTCACTAGACCGATACACGGCCGTGGAACGCTCAAGACCCATGAAAGATGATAGTAATATCATGAGAAGCTTCTTTCATAATCATCTCATTATCATGACCAACTTTCACTCATGGTTGTGATGGAGGATTTACCATGAAATGATAGTGATATCTAGTGCCATGACTGGAATGGTTTAGTAAACAAAATTGTTCGAGGACATGTAGCCAATGTATTACAATTTTCAGTAGATCGAAGCCAGTATCAAATATCGTTTCAATGAATATGTGAGGAGTGCTTCTCAATTGAAACTGCACGTCAAACTTCACAACACTTTGTAAGGAAAAAGTTTGTGATAAGAAAGTCACATGATAAAAGAATTTTCAGCTAACTTTCCACGGGAAGTGGCCTACGAAATGTGCGACAAATTGCTTAGGATCCTTCACCTCGCACAGATAAGACAGACGGAACAAGAACAGCCACAAATCCTAGTGTGCAAGGGCACTCGGAAGTAACTTAACACTATCAAATCGCAAAATGTAAAACCTTGAGAAAACACATTCTGAATAAAATGGCACTGAATAAAATGAAGGCAATGAACCTCTTCCGTGCTGTTATCGATATAAAGATCAAGTTGTACATTTGACGACAGAAGTCCGAGAGTTGACAAGTAATTCAGCAACAGCTCTTCTATAATATGAACACATGGCATGCTGCACCATTACCCAAAAATGATTGAGAATACCTACTGCTCCACAACAGGTAATCTGTGGACTACAATTCGTGACTTCACACTCACATGTCATCAGATTGCACTCTGAATGGTAGCTTCTCAATGTGGATAAATTTTCCTAGTGTACAAAACTGTGTAAGCGACTACAATAAATCACTTCTTCCCCTTGGTTTTTGACTCGACAACCAAGACTTCAGATCCCAGATCAAACATCCTCTCCAATGCCTGCATGTTCTCAATTTTCTCACTCACCGTCTTAGAGTCTGCTCCATCTGATCTCAAGTGCTGCATAGGACCGTGCAACAACTTGTTCACGATTCCCCTACTTAAGTCCTCAAGAGCCCGCTTCTGCTTTGTAGTCAGATCCTCTGGCATTCTACTCAAACACTTCTCTAGTTCGGCTTGTCTGACGCGCTCAGCATAGGACCGCAACTTCTTAATTGTTGGCACTGTCTCTAAAGAATCCCTCCACGCCTCGAAATTCTTAATTTCATCATCAATAATGACTTGAGCTTCGGCGGCCTTTCTCCGTCTGTCCTCCTTATTTGCGGCCACCACTTCCTTCAAGTCATCCACATTGTATACACGCGTGCCTGGCAAGTCGGAAAGACAGGCTGCTACGTTTCTTGGTACTGAAATATCAATAAAGTGCCTGACGCCACCACTGGTCTGTGCACCACCAAAGGAACAGCGTAAGTTTCTGTACTAAAAAATGCATTACCAAACCAAAAGCTGCATGTTGTATTATGTAAAACATGAGGACATAAATATGTTCGGTGTCTAAATAGCAGGATCATAAAGAGTGTCGTAGCTCCAAATCAGGAGTTTGCAGTCCAATACCCGTCAACCCTTTTCTATTCAGTGTTACTAAACTCGCGTGATCATGGAGAGAAGTAGAACTCTATCCGCAAATAAATGTTCGCAAACTCGAACAGGCTCTTACCTGGGATGCGGGGAACAAACCCTCCACGTTCTCCTTCGTGAATAAAGGAACATCTGATGAGGTACTTGTGAACACAAGATCAGCTTCTCCGGTACACCTCAGCAATTCGGTGAGGGACTCATACACAATGTTAGCGCCAGGGAACTCATTCTGCAGATCCAGAACTCTTTGCTCTGACCTGTTAACAATCGTCATGCGCGTACACCCTTTTGAAATCAAATGTTTCACCAACAATTTCGACATTTTCCCAGCACCTACAATCAACACACTAACTCGTGACACGCCCCCTGCTGGAAGCTTCATGACGGCCAATTCAACCGCTGCCGAGCTCACAGAGACGGCTCCAGCAGAGATATTGGTCTCTGTTCGTACTCGCTTTCCAGCGGTAATCGCCTGTTTAAATAAACCTGCGAGATTACGACCAAAACCAGAAACCTCTTGCCCAATCTTTAAAACTTGCCTAACCTGCACATCAATTATAAAATTCAACAATTTAGTTAATCCCTAGTAACCAGCGTTTGACCCAAAAAAACCAATTCATCGCCACTTTGTGACGTTAAGCATTATGTGAAAGAAAAGTCCGATTCTAAATCACAAGAATTGGTTCTCATCCAGATCACAGGCCCGCAGTGTATCCAGAGTAAGAAAATCCAAAGCAAGCAGTTTCTGAGGAGCGCTTCTGCTCGCACCTGCGCAAGAATTTGGCCTTCTCCAAGAACCAACGAATCGAGGCCTGAAGAGACTCGGAACAAATGCTGAGTTGCATCTTGGTCACGTAATATAAATAAATGTTCCATCAAATCCTCAACTGGAATCCCACTTGTCTACAAAACTCAAACAAATCAAAAAGATAAGCGATTGCATCCAGATATTAATTATCCAACTTCGATGGTCATTATCTACTATACAATTACAAGCAGGAGGACAGAATCCAACCAGGACAGAAATAGGATGCAGCACGTAAAACGCCATGAAACTTCTAACACTCGCAGCATTAAACACGTCAGGGGTGTGATAGAAATACGTCCTAGACATGAATAGCAATTTAAAAACTACGACACAATCGACAATAGGCCAGGTGTCAAAAAATAAATGCAAAGATAATGTTATCAATCTAGGTATAAAAATGAGTATTCACCTTCGACATCCATTCAGCTACTTCTTTGACTCCTCTGTTCCATGAGACGGCTACCACATATATCTCAAACCGATTACATGTACTCAGGATACTGGCTTCTTCGATATGATTCTGACTTGAGAGTTCATCAATAGCACGAGGCCACTCAGCTTCGGGTACAGCAAGCTTTTCACGCATCTCCACAGGAGTAGTGTGTACACTTAAACCCATGACCATGATGCTGCTCTTCACTTTAGTATAGCCTGCAAACATGACGGATATGCTACTAGTCAAGTTACAAGTCGCCACTGCTCATAAAAATGACTGGAAAAACTCAAAGACTTACTAGCATAGCTTGACAAAATAGTGTGCCGAGCACGCGTATGCCGCGCGCACCAATGAGCCTACACTACACTGCCAATACTGAGCATGTGCAAATTGATTCGCAGCCTTATCCTGTCATTGAGAAAAACACCTCGCTAGAAAGTTCCAGGTGAATCCTGCCAACTCATACGTTATGTTTCTTCGGTCGGATTCTCTAACGTGAAGAAACCCGGTCCGAAGTACTTTCGAACCAGAGTCAGAACTGCTAGATTAAGAGCTAAATACGTCCCACACTACTCCAGATAGATTATTGAGATTTGAAATTCCATGTAGGATAGCAGCATGGCCGACAAAAGAGGTATACACACCCAAGTATCGCAAATTTGTGACCTGTTCTATTTTTCACCACTCTAAAAACCTTTACAAGAACCCCAATCAGACATTGTGAGATACGCACGATTGGCTCTCGCATTTTGAAACTCCAGAAACGCAGAAACACTGGACGCCTTGAGCTTGTGACTGGAGGGCATATTTGCTACACCGTCGGGGCCAGACATGTCCGCTCTGGGAGCCCTAACCTTAACGGCACTCTCCGCCAGCTTCACCGATCCCAAGCCCTTCTTCGACCCCCATAATCTGGACCTGCCCATTCGCAATCCCTGCGCGCTCAACCCCTCCGCCATCACTCCCTCCGCAAGTTTGGGCGCCACCACGCAGGATCTCATCGTCGTCGTCGTCGTCGCCATCACCACACCACACCACCCCAAACCACACTACCTGATCCCCCAACCCACTTCCCAAAACGATCTCCAGCAAACGCAGACCGGCTTCTTATTACCTTGGAAAACCCCCTCTCAACGAAAAACTCTCAAAATGCAAACCAAAAACTCTCCAAATAGTCACCACGCACAACCCCAACCACCACGCTGCCAATTGTAGCTCGGCCCCTCCTCTTACACAAGGTCAATTGTAGAAATCTTATACTGTGCTGTGAACGATTACAACCTCGAGAGGTCCATGAGAAGAGCGACAGCAGCAGCACAAAAAAGATTGCGAGCGGCGCTAGCGCCGGAGCTCTAATCCACGGACGCCGAGGGTCGCAAGTCGTCGCAGCAGCAGGCAGCACAGCAGCGACTTCAACCTCTCCCACATGGACGCGGAGAGGGTTGGTCAAGCTCGTGGGGCTGGAGTGGGGCAGGGATGGGCTGGCAGCACTGCAGTGAAGAAGCCGTGCGATGCGGGTATGCGACAATTGGGGCACCATCCGCTGGGCGTAGGGATGCCGGTTATGGAGTGTGCGAGGCCGGATGTGGCCATTGCACATGGCACCGAAGGATCCCTTCCTTTATCTGCGAATTGTCGATCACTTGGGATGCGCTTTCTCGCGTCTTGGCGTGGGAGGCTCCGGGGCTTCTTCTTCTGCTGCGTCCATTCCCTCCTCTCTCGTTTCATTTCGTTTTGGCTTCAATTTCATGCCAAGGGTGGCCGATCTCTGCCACACGCTGTCGAGCATACTTCCAGTTTGCCAAATTTGGAAGTTGTGGCATGGCATGAACTAATTGTACCTTTATCCATGTGTCTTGAAAATCGGACACCGTGTTTAAAATTGGAGAATAACAAAACCCCAACAAAATCCCCAAGAATCCATCGGTGATGTGTCATATGGAAAATAAATCACTTAAATGATTGTCTCAGTGACGTCACAAAAATATCTCTTCATCCACGTCCCCCTCTCCCAAAAAAATAAATAAGGAATAAGTAAACGAATGAACGACTGGGTTGCGCCACATCCACCTCAAAAAAGGACCCAAAAGTTACAAAAGCCCCATTACAAACTTTTGGAGCCACTCAAAGCAAGTGTGTGCAGGTGCCCACGCACCCAACAAACAAGCGTTGTTTTTAAGGGCAAAAGTCAAAAACCCACAACAGCCCAGCCGCTGCCCTTCCCTCAGCCCACCAACCAACCAACCAGCCTCTCTCTCACTCTCACAGTCTCTCTCTCTCTCTCTCTCTCTCTCTCTCTCTATCTCTCTCAATCTTCCTCTCTCCCGAGCGATATCTCGCACCATGCCACGCAGTCGAAGATCCGATTCGGAAAGCGAGATAAAGAGCAAGAGCTGCATTGAAATCAACTTGTTCTCGGTCAAATAGCGATGAAGTTAGTCACAATGTCACGAATGTGGGCCCATACCCGCTCGCACGCCGCGCACTGCTTCCACCTCCCACGCACTGATCCGCCCAACAACCGCTCGCAATGCCGCGCGCAGATCGCATCGATCGCCGTCACAGCTCAGGAACCACCACAACCACGACGGCGACGACGACTCTCGTGGCACTCTCTGTGCAGCCATGACCTTTCCTTTCTTTCGTTTTCGTTTTCTTTTACTTTTACATATTCATTGTCGTTTTTTTCCGAGTGTATTTGCTATGTGGGTTATCATCTCACTGACTACTGGGCCACAAACCATCCATTTGTGGGTTTGGTTTCCCAATTGCAAGTCCTTCACCCTCTGCTTCACCACTCCCGCTATTACAACTTCCAGGTTTACTGCATTTAACTATTAACTTGTTCCCCTCTGCGATTCCTTGTGTTGCTCTCTTTGGCAATTCTACGTCTTGTATCTAGTCGTTACATGTACACATTTTTTATGAATATTGTGACTTTTCTCTGTTAGGCTGTGAAGCATTCTACCTTAAATGTGAACATAGAAGAATCTGAAAAAAAAAATCAAAATCAAAATCAGAAAAACTTACATACACATTGAAAAATATGAATATTGTTTTCTTCTTAGCTTTCAAAGGGTTTCAAAAATGTTAAAATGAAGGATAACAATTATGTTGGAAGTTTTATGTTGGAAGTTTTTAATGAATATATATATATATATATATATATATATATTAAATTTTAACTTTTAAAAAGTTAATTAAGATAATTTGCAACCAAGATAAATTACAGAAGTTATTAATATATTTTCACCAATTATATTCCATGATTTTATCAAAGAGTGATTAAAAGCTAAAATTTAGAGATTTAGACTCATATCTGTCAATAAAATAATAAAACCATTAGAATATAAAATAAAACTACAATCCTAATTTATAGCTTATAGATAAAATTTACAAATATAAAAAAAACCAAAACAAATCAAAACAGTACTAAAACCGTTAAACATTGTGTATTAGTGAATGTCTAATTAAATTACATGATGACAAAAAAAAACAAAAAAACAAAAAAAACAAAAAAACAAAACAAAAAAAAACAAACAAACAAACAAACAAACAAATATAAAGCATAATAATGTACTTAAAACGTTTAAAATTTTACCATAAATCTGAAGATAATTCTATATATATATATATATATATATATATATATCACAATTATTTCACTGTAATTAATCTTATTCTTCAAATATTTGTTTAGTAACCAGACCATTTTGTAAATAATAATAAAAAATTAACTGAAGAAATAATTTAAAAAATAATTAACTGAAACTAAAATTTAGAGATTTCATTATCTTTTTAAAATATCATATTTTTATATTTAAATAAATTTTATTTTAATACAATCATTAAAAGAAGTTGTACAAGAACATGTGAGTAACGTTGAAAAATCAAATATCATATTCTGATAATTGTACTTCGAAACCATTTTCAGGTATTTTTTATTATTATGAAATATTTTAATAATAAAAAAATATATTAATTTGTAATTTTAAATAATAAGATAATAACATAATTAATTTTAATTTTAATTCTCATTTTTCAATGCAAACTTTAAGCAATATATTTACAACTACAATTAATAAAAAGAAACTAAATGAGTTTTTCAAAATAGATAATACAATTATAGAAATTTGTAAATATTTTAAAAAGATTTCACATACGATTTTCTAGTTGTTATTGTTGAACTAACACTAAAAACATATGTGAAGACAAAAGAAAGAATATCTTTTGACTTGAATAAGTTCTTACATAAAGAATTGGTAGTATACAACTATTGATTTCTATAGTTTATTTTTGAAAAATAAACTTTGATACACATTAACATGTTTTTTTTTTATAGAAAATTATTTTAAAATAAATATGAAATAAAAAATTTATTTGTATTCTATTAATAGCTACTTCTTTACTTACTAAGATCATGACTTTTTTTTGATTGATAACAAATTTAATCTTTACTTACTCTTTTTTAATTTATATTATATTCACCTGAAAAAGAAAAAGAAAAACAAACAGAAAACTTATAAATGCGAAGTTTATAATGTCAAAAATTTATTTAAAATAACAATACAATCAACGATTATTTTTCGGAGATATTGCTAGTACATTTAAAAAGACAGTAACCAATACCATTGAATTTTTTTGGGGGGTGTGTAGTATTATTATTGATCTATTTTCTTAGATAAAACTTACTTCTTTTTGTCATTTTGTGATGATCTAACTGACAGTGTTCATAGCTTAAAGCCATATTATGTTTTATGAATTTCATCCAAATATACTAATTAAATAGGAATTATGCTTCCAAAATAAAAAAAAACAATGTTAACATAAAATTTAATCATGCTACATTAATATAACAACTTGAAAAATGCAAGGTTGTTGAATATGCAATCAAAAGAACACATATTAATTTTGAAAACTTTACTATTCAAATCTTTTAATTTTTTATAAGAATTGCATAATATAATTTATTTGATTATAAATTAAGTGAGTCTTAAATTATGTGTATCTCTTTTTTTTTTGAAAGTGGATATTAGATGAAATGTTCAGCCATTCTAAAACAATGTGTTTGACAATGATTAAATTTCTGTTTGATTTTAATTTTTAATTTTTAAATATTTTTCCCTGCTCTCTCACACACTCTTCACTCCAGACTTAATTTATGATTTGTTTCTCTATATTAAATAATGAAAATTATTGAAACAAGAAATAGAATACTAAAAATTGTATGTATTTCAAAAAATTAGTTTCCATGTTTGCATGATTTATTAGAATAATAATAATAAATTACGTTCCAATGCTCAAATTTCTTGGCAATTAGATTTCAGATTAATGATCTTGGTGTAGAATAAATTGGAAAGAAAATATTAAAAGAAAAAATATAGCATTTTATAATTTTCTGTGTAACATGCCATGTATGCCTTGCAGACATTCTACTACCCTCAACTTGAATTTTATATTGAGTAATTTTGACGAAAAGAACTGGTTGATAAAAATAAACACAAGTTGTTTTCATCTATAGCTGTTTTATGTTTATTTTACTCTCTTTAAAAAAAATTAAAAAAAACATAATTTTTGTTAGTATAATTTCAAAATAAAATATGACTTGAATTACATATATATATATATATATATATATGTGTGTGTGTGTGTGTGTGTGTGTGTGTATCATGATTGATCTGAAATACAATATTAATACAATTCATGAAAACAAACTACAATTGTTTGCTTATCCTTATTTTTTCAAAAATGAAGTATAGAATCACAATGAAGAAAAGCAAGTTATCAACTACAACTATAACTTAATTTAACACTCTCATTGAATGTTTTTATAGGCTTTTTTATAACAAATAAATAAAAAAACTAAAAAAACTAAAAAAATCTAAAAAAAGGTAAATTGTAAATGACATACCATAAAGTTCCAAAAGATCACAAATACTCGTCATAAGCCACACTTTATCTACTCAACCCTAAAAACCCAATTAATACACATGCACACACCAAATAAGTCTCACTCACAAAAAAGAGAAAAAAAAAAAAAAAAAAAAAAAAAATCAACCGCTCAAGAGAAAGAGAGAACTCACAGAGAGAGAACTCAACATTCCACGATGCGCAAAACCAACAAACAAACGTTGCTTAATCCCATTCTTCTCCTGAGACACAAAACGGGAGAAACGAAAGCCACGTCGGACTGAGATACTTGCACACGTGAAGATAAAATAGGACGTTGGCGAGGACATGGAATGAGGCATGCCGCGGCAGGGCGGGAGTCAGCGGCAGCTCAGCGTCTGTTTCGACACGCCAGCGGCGGCGGAAGCGGATGGGGTTTAAGAGGAAGGGTCATTGACAGCGCTTAAGGGCAGCATCGCTAAGCTCCCTTAAACGGAGGAGTTGGGGGGTGAAGTGGCATGGCAGGGCAGGGCACTTGGGAGGGCGGGGGGAGCTATTTGTTACACATGGCAATGGATTTGTAGATGAGGCCTTGGCAGATGCCATTGGTTGTGTGAGTAGTGTGTGTAGTGTGTTTGTGTTTGTGTCCACTTTCTCCTCCCTTGTTGCTTTTCCTTTGTGCCTGTGCCGTCGTATGCCCACACTCCACTAAGCTCTCTTTTTCTCTCTCGCACTTTCCATCCTCCTCGCGGGACTTGTCTCTGCTGTTTTACTTCACTGTCCCCAGCTTGCGCAGCTCCCGCAGTCATGGCCGCCGCCGTCGCTGGCACTATGTCCACGCTCGCCTCCGTTGCTACTTTTGTACCCACTTGCAGGGTCACTGCCGTGCGCTCTTCGTCGGTATCCATCGCGAAGGCCTTTGGATTGAAGACCCAGAGCATGGGTCGCGTCACCTGCATGGCTTCCTACCAAGTTACCATCAAGAACGGCGAGACCGGAGAGGTTTCTAGCTTCGAGTGCCCCGACGATGAGTATATTTTGGACGCCGCTGAGGAGCTGGGAATTACCTTGCCTTGCTCTTGCCGCTCTGGAGCGTGCTCGTCGTGTGCTGGTCTCCTCCAGCAGGGGTCCGTGGACCAGTCCGAACAGAGCTTCTTGGATGATTCTCAAGTGGGTGCTGGGTATGTTTTGACGTGCGTGGCCTACCCCACTAGCGACTGTATTATCGTCAGTCACCAGGAGCAGGCACTGGCATAAGCGGATTGAGCGAGTTGAGGTGTTCACGTGTAGGATAGATGCTATTGCTCGGTTGCATTTTTTCCTCTCGCACTAGGGCTGGATTCCGCTCCGACTTCGATAGCTAGTCGCTTGTAGATTGTGAGTCCAATTCATCAATTGTGGCAACCCAGCGGGATTCAATTAAAATTACTGTGCAATTTTCGATTCACATCATCGTCTGGGTCTTATCGTACTCTTCTGTCTTGACTTTGTTCTGATCGATTCTCACCATCTGTTTCCACAGTCTTTAAGGTCTGTTGCTGGCGAGGTAAAACATTCTTTGTCATGGTGACAATTTTGCATTAATCAACCTTCTAGATTGCTCTAGCTTTGACCATCCTGAGGCTTGCAATTAGTTGCTTTGCAGGACCCTGTCATCTTCAGCAACCCCAATCTCTAAAGATAAACTCGTGTCAGTTTCTCCAGGATTTCCCGTGTATTCATCCCACCCGATTCGTAGTAATGGAGCTGAATTGCTATCGATTGTAGTGTTTCATTTGATTATGTCAGTCGTCTTTCTGTGAGCCCGAGAACGTCATGGAGCATCTGATCGTCCTTTTGCTGGTTAATTCCTGTGAAGCACATGTCGTGTCTAAGAGACAGATTGCGTCAAGGGTTGGCAGCAAATTTTTTGTATGTGGTAAGTTCAGCACCACGGTTTGGTTGGGTGTGGCTGAATTGAAGCACCTTGTTCGGCAATTAAACGAGAATTGATGAAAAGATTGATGAGAGCAAGGCTCTGACCCCAGAAACGGTGTCTTCGGTATCAATCCCAATAAAATAACGGACGAAAACACTTGTGGTAGTGGTGGTGGGGGTTATGAAGGGCCAAGCCACGAAAAACGACTTCGCGCCTATGTCAATGATCCAACTTTGGAGGCTCAGTTACGAAGATCACCACTATCGATCGTAACCTAGCTTTTCCCGCGATTTGGACATCTAGATGGGAATACTCGCACATGTGTAGAAGTAATTCCATATTCCACGTCTCCGGATTCCTCAATGCAGCATCTGCAGGGTGAAAGGGGTAGTGTGGCTGGTGAGACTGGTTTTCGTACTCTGCGTTGCATTTTCCTACTAGATTCATCAGTAGGTTTGTGATTAAGCAAATTTAACTCATGAATTCAACTTTCGTCCACAACATTGTGCGAATTCTCTCGACATGCAGGTGAGATTGATCGATTGACAGTATGGTGGTAATTCTTGTCCGTTCTACAATTTGGCATCAGGTAGAGCATTCAAGCTTTTACGTGGGTTTTCTTTCTCCAGAGTCGTTGGTGAGAAAGTGTTGCGGTTTTGAGGGCTTTTGAGTTCAGTTTGTATGTATCATTCAAATGAGAACGAGGTAGTGGAGGTGGTGGCACCCTCAGAATTGATGCTCGTCGGAAAGCATGAAGAGATGAGGGGTGGTCGAAAGCGGCGAGTTGTTTAACAGGAGTTGAGTGCGCTTTCATGACATTGCTGATGATGGTGGTTGCTGATGCGGCAGTAGTGGTGGATGTGTTTTGTGAGATGGAAGTTCAGGATGGCATTGTAGTTTAGCTTTTGTCGGATAAACCTCGGGACATTTGTTGTTATTGCAGAGTTCGTGCGGAATAAGGACCTACTGTGAGGCCTTCTCTTACTTCTTCTTCAGAGACCACACGAGTCTGCTGGAGAAGGCTACGAATCGGATGAGGATGTGGCGAAACCTCTCGCAGCCCTGGCATAATAACTTATGCAGAATATATTTGACGTCCATGCTGATTAAAACTTTTGTCCTGTTTAAGGTTGTTTAGTTGTAACTGCGATTTTAATCATCTAAGCTGTGTCTTCCGTCTAATATACATATTCTTGAGGCTGAAGGTCAAGTTTCCTTTGTGCATTGATCCTTTTGGCAGTCGCGAACTTACGGTTTGGTTGTTCATGTATAACTTTCTAATTTTAATTGTACGTTTCTCTCGCAGTATCGACTTATGTAATCATTCTTTACATCTCAAATTTTTGATTACAAATTTTAGGTTGCTACATTCATTTTTTGTATATGATAATGCGGCATTGGAGAATATGTAGCTAGTTCTTACTTAGCTTGCCAAATAAGGCAAAGGTAACAGTGGTGGATATAGACTTTTCTACAACTCTACTTTCAGAGTTATCGTAAGTCAGCCGTGATTCGTGAGCGGGGTTATTTCATATGTGATAGCTGATGATTGGTTGGCTTGCTGGCTGGTGTGACTTTGGTCAAGTCTAATGACGTGAACACAGCGTATCACGGAGCAGTTTTTCTAGCAAGATGAACCCTGCTTTTTCGCAAAAAGAGCAATAATGGTTGTAATTATCATCCTGCAGTTTCTAGTTTATTTTGCATGCGAAAACGACAATGTGTACAGCATATTTCAACAAGTTATCACCAATGATGCAGCGGATACGTCTGTCATTACAACCACTGGAGGGTTTGTGTAACATGAACATCAACCCAGAGGTTGTATGGCATTACGTACCTCCTGCTGTTCCTGATACGGACCCCTCAAATACTGATGATATATTGTCTTCTCAAGGTTTAAAATCTAGGGTTTCTCATCATTATTTTAAAACGGGTTTTTTCCAGTTGCTGCGGAGTGCCTCGCGGTGAAAAACTCATCCTGCTCATTTCTGATACTAAGAATTCAAATTTCTTCGTAGGTGAAGTCCATTCATTATGCACTTCGTGCTAAGGTGTTTATTGTCTGCTTGAATACTAGTGAAGACTGGAAATAAATCGAGCAATGTTGATGCGTGGTTTTTGGAAATGGAGGGATGGTTGTAAAGATTGCGAGCTGAGGGTGACAGTTCAATGCTGCCAACTTCAACTATTGTGGTATCATATGATGCACAACCACCACCTCCTGGAAACTCATATACAGCGGTTCTCTCAAATGTTGATAAGAGTTTTTCTATACAAAAATTCAAATTTTCAATTTTGGGTGCATGTGAACTTCGCTACTGGTAGTGACAATAATGCTGAAGGGGGGTTGTAGTGCTGGTTTAGATATTTTCACGGTTGTATGCTTACCCAAATATTCGAAGACATTGTAATCCGCTATGATTGCCACAATGATCTGCTTTACTATTCGTTATAATTGCCATCAACAACATAACAGATTACAATTTCCACAGATACTTTCGTTGACGTTGATCCCCTTAACTATTCATAGTTGTTACACGTTGGCCTTGAAATGCTAATCAGCGACTTGAGAGAAAGCATGAAATATGCACAACATCTAAATTACTTGGGTTCTATGAGCGACAATATATTTATGCATGTTTCAAAATCTTCCAAAATACGCATTCATCAGACAGATACTCTATGTACGTTTCCTTTTCCATTCCACCTCCCTCACTTGCAGTGAATTCCTATCCCATCATACCATGTTGTTACTTATAAAGATGTTCCTCATGCAGTTTGTGGAGTCAATCTTGTGAAAACAAGATCAGATTTTGCAGCAGAAATCCTAGGTTTAGGTAAAGTAGAAAGTTCCAAAAATTCTGCAATTTACGGCCACTTCAATAGTAAAAAAAAATGGGATTGACGTCCATGTGTTCTATGGAAATTTCAGCTGAATGTTTCCAGGAAATAATATATATATATATATATATATATATATATATATACATAATTTAAAAATAAAAAAGTAGCCGTAAACTTGCACTTGAGTGAGGAACTCAAACACGAGTCTGTCTCCAGATGGAGGCTGTTTACATTCGCATTATTTCAGGTAGCATGGGTGCATGAACAATTTCCCCGACAACGTAGATACGCTGCAACTTTGTCTCAGTCGGAAGATTCTCTTGAGTTGCTCCAGACGACTTCTGGCATTACGGACAGTGAATACGTGATATTTTGATTTCCTGACTTTATTACACGTGATCATTGGGTACGTAAAGTTCATTCATTTATGTGGAATACTTGCCCAAGTACAGGTTGAATTGATCTCCCCTGCTTGTAAAAAACAGTGTTGCTAGAGTTGTGAACGAGACCACCGTGATGCGAAATATTAAGCCTGTACCAGGAAGATTACTGGGTGATGCTCTTTTGAGAATTTTTTTGTTTAACTTCCTGCTTCCATGCATGGCAGTTTCGTGCAGGAGTTACTTATTATGAAACAATTTTGTAGCTATAATAATGTCTTTGATTGACAGTTTGAATAGAAGCGAGAGGTTTATTAACAGAATTGTGTTGCATATCAGAACCTTATTCCGGGTCATTAAGGGAATCAGGTACATGTGTTCTTAGAAAGGAATAACCCAATTCTTAACTCATACTTTTCCATGACATTCAACTACTTGCTTGCATCTTCCACTCCTATGGCCTCATCTAATGTCAGCGGATCAATTAAAAAAAAGACCAGAGAAGTTTAGAATTTAATATCAATCTGTAGATTTAGTTTTTCTTTTTTTCTTTTTTATATATCTTCAAATATGATTTTCGTCTTGATTATAAACTTCAGACATATTTTGATTGAACTCACTAAATTTCAGCTCCTGATTCATAAACATTGTCTCAATTTATTGAACTGTTTTATTTAATTGTAAAATTAGTTTGTACTCCTTTACAAAAGTATTAGAATTTGAGTTCAGCAAGATAAATTGATTCATAAGAATTTAAAATATAAATTATTTTTTGAAGTTTAGATTTTTTTACTTACTATCTAATAGAAAGAAACTGTATTATGTTACTAATTTCCAATCCATTTCAAGCAAATATTGTAAGTTGTTATATATAATTTAAAATTATTTTAAAATATACTCTTTTTAGTTATTCACTTAGGTATCAATATCCTTGCATTAAAATTTTATTACACACACACACACACACACACACATATATATATATGTATATATATATAATTTTGTGATACATTAGCTGGATTTGAAATACTTTTCATTCACACCTTTTAATATTATAACTATGTTGATGTATCAAATGTTTCAATTGGACTTGTCCCATCATTGAATTAAATGATATGTTATTTTTTATTAAATATAGAAAAAAAAATATATATATATATATATATATTAAGATATAATATATGTATTAAAAAATAGAATATAATAAAAAATCTAATTCTAAAAATTATAAAATATTAAAATTATAATTCGGTTTCATGATTAAATTTAGATATAAATTGTTTGATATTTAGCTAAAGATTTATTTGTTAACTAAAAAAAATCCCAAATACTAACCAAAACATTAATAATGTGTAAGAATAATAATTTTTAATTAAAATTTACTTTGAAAAAATAAAATTTGTATTTATAAAATTTCTTGTTGTGAAGTTTTTTACTTATTAAGTGTAAAATATACCAAATTAGTAATAGTAACCATATTTTAATTAAAAATATAAAATATAGATAATTACTAAAAATAATTAGTAATTAATGAAGATACATTATTATTATTATTATTACAAGAAAATCTCTTAGAAAAATATAACATGTCCAATTTAACTATTACATATTAGCAATAAGTTCCAAATATCCATATAAGATTTGATTGGTTGTATAAGTTTAATTCTTAAATTTTTCTATATCCCAAAATATTCAACTTTTTTACAAATTTCAAGTATTTTAAACAACATTTCTTCATAGATACACCCCTTCAAATATGACATCAAAAAAAATATGATAGTTAAAGATACATAATAAGATTTAATATATAAATAAATATATATATATATATATATATTGGAATAACTAATACTTTTAATCTATATATATATAATTATTCATTTCTTTAGGAGAATATTAAATAGACTCAGATATAAATATATATAATTATAGGCGGTTGTTAAAGCCACACCCCATATTACTATCTCATGATCGATTCTCTCCATCTTCGTTCATTGTTCCATGTCCTTTATCCCCTATTCCCAACCTCCACACCATGTTCACTATCACCATCCCTTCTCCTCTATTCTCATTATATGGTTTTGGGGGTGTGGCTTTAACAACTTCTTATATATATATATATATATATATAGGAACAAGTATAGTTCTTTTAATTATCTATATATATATATATATATATGTTTTTTATGATGGATAGGTAAATATAGTAAATTATGAATTTAGTTAATATTCTTCCATATATATAGATAATGTTTTAATCCATGTACTACATAATGACCACTCTTTTTGAGGAGCATCTAAATTTTAAAATATCATTTTATAAATGTCAATCTGAAATTATAATTTCTTGCTTTCATATTTTTTTTTATTTGATTCTTTTTTTGTAACATGTTTATATTTACATATATACACATATAAGATATATAAGGATGGTTGAAAATCATTTTTTGCATAATTTTCAATAAATAAAATATCATTGTATAATAATTGATTTTTCAAATATTTGGGATTAATTAATCAAGTAAGTCAAAGCCATATTGTCAATTTTAAATAACAAGTATCTATTTTTAAAATATTTGCGTTTATAACCACATTGACCATTTTATTATTTTTAACATGGAATTTTATGTATATGTATGCTTTTATCTTGTTGTAAACAAAAGTAATCATGTATAATTGCAAAAGCAAGTGATTGTATATTTTAAGTGGTGACAAAGGCTTTGTTTTTTTTGTTTTATTTTGTTTTGTTTTTTTAATTTAAAATTTAAAATTAAACAAGTATAGTTCTTTTAATTTTAAAACATTCTTTTTCATAAATATGTGATTACAAGCATACTTATCATACAAACATTGGTACTAACATCCACCAACCCAACTTGTCATATTTATTGTTTGATTCTCAACAAGTTAGTAGTCACTTTGTTCCACTTGTAATACATTGATATGTTCAAACCCCTAATTTATTAAACTACAAAATATATGTATAAATACATATATTATTATTATTACTACGAAGATATATTCACTAATTATCTTACTCATATATATATATATATATATATTTATACCAATAATTCTTTTAAGTCAAATTATCTTAAACAATTAATTCCAAAGGTTTGACTTTTAGAATCCTCATTTCCATAACAATTCTTCATTTTTAATACAATACAGCTTCTTGTTGTGTTTTGTTTTGTTTTGTTTTTTTTTTTTCTTCTTTTCCTTCTTTCCTTCCTGATACAATATGTTGCATTCACAATGGCAACATATACAAAATGTCAATAACAAAATCAAAATCATACATATTCTTAGTAAAATGTAGATATATATATATATATATATATTTATTTATTTCTTTTTTCTAAGTAGGAGAATGTTAAATAGACACAAATTTTTACTAAATTGACCCACCCATTTTAACCGATATGAAAAGAAAAATGAGTTCTAGATTCATTTCTCCACTACTAAATCCAAAACCAATGAAAACCAACCACATTCATCATTATTACTATATTCTTTATCATAGGTAGGTCAATTTAGTAAACACTTGGGTTTATTTAACATTCTCCTTCATATCTCTTAAATAAAACATCCTAGGGGATAAATTAAAGGAGACAAAAAAACATCACTAATTGGCTGCACATCTCATTGTTCTCATCAAAAGTGAAGCAATAACTCAACTTTTGATCAAGTAGAAATTAAAATCTGCATAATATTGTTGTAGATTGCCGAGAGTAGCACTGCAAGATTACTAGGCAGGAGCTCAAAAGCTCCCAATAGTAATTTCCAATGAATATTTTTTGTGTCCAATGGCATAGATTTCCACTAGTATATATATTTATATAACTTCGTGATTTTGTTTTTCAACCATTTTACTTTTGTTGGAACATTGAATTATTTGCTGTTTGTAGACACAAACAAAATGGTTTTGAAAAAAAGATAAAATACAAAAAACGTTGTCATATCATCTTCTTAGAAGATACTATTACTAGTGTGCTTTAATATTTAATATTTTAAGCTTTATTTTTATGAATATATAATAATAATAAATATATATATATATATCTAAATTTATATTTCAGAAGCTTATTTTTAAGGAATTAAGTTAAATGTGACGATTTGATTAGATGTAGGAATGGTGGTAGGTTAAAGATGAGGTTTTGTGAGTTAGAAAAACATGTTCATATATATATATATATATACATAAATATTCCAGCAAGAGGGAGGGAAGCCAGGTTTTAGGGTTCTGTTGGGTTGGGGGCATGGGCGAGCATCGTCGATGACGCTCTCGCAGCTGCAGTTGCGAACCCGACGCCGGAGTTTCGTTCCTTCCCGCCTTCACCTCCTTCGGGAGTGTTCCCTTCCTTCCCTCCCTGGCAGCGCCATCTATAGACGACATCCTATCTGTCCCATCGCCACCTGCTGCAGTAATTCCTCCACCGAAAAATAAATAAATAAAAGAAATTAAAAAACAAACAAACAGAGAGAGAGAGAGAGAGAGAGAGAGAGATATCCTTCTAAGGATTCATTCAAATGAAGATCAAAACAAAGATCTCGTGCATCCAATACTCCAACCTTCCGTGCCGAAGAAACTTGTCTCCGACGCCATAACAGCTGATGTTTGCAAATTTCAGAAATAGGGTTAAGTCCAAGAAGGAGGAGGAGAAAATTCAGGAACTAGAGTTGTAGGGTTGTAATTTTATTTTACGGGGGAGGGCGATGTTGCCGTGGCCGTGAGTCAACAGGGGGGGGTACGCACGTGCGCATCGTAGAAGTAGGCACCGTAGCGGGTCACACATGAATTGCGCTGATTTTGCTGGGGTGGGATAATCGATCGATCGCCATGGAATGATTGCTTTCATCGTGGTGGAGGGAGGACCAGTCTGACCTGCTTTCGTGAAGGCTGGATGACACCGTGGTAGACTCTCGCCTGGAGTGAGGGAACACTGCAGGAGGAGGAAAATGAGGGGGAGAGGAGCGCGAGCATCTCGCCAGGACAGGACAGGATCTCTCGCCTTTGTTCTGCGATGATGCGTTCACATACCCGGACTCATCTCCTGCAACACCAAGGTCATTTTCTCGTTGCATAGTTCTCACTGGCACCAGTGTGCCGAGTGCTGGAGAGAACCGGTTTGTTGCCTTGAGCGAGAGTGCATACAGTCAACTGTGAAGGGGAGAGCTGCCATGGTAAGTTACCAGTTGGGGTCATAGCTATTCACCTTCACTCTTGGGGCGAAGGTGCAAAGGCAAAGGCAGGAGCGGGGGCGAGGGCACCGAAAAGCGAGGGAGGTCCTGTGTCTTTCTATCGCCTCTCTCGCCCGTCTCCTGTTGAGCTTTGTGCGCGGGTCTGTTCCAGACGCCACTGCCCCCACCCCAGTTTCCTGGAGCTCTCCCAAGTTTTTCTTCCAAGGTGGGAGTTTGCTGTTGCAAGCGTCTTCGTTGTGTGTTTTTTAATATTTTGCTCCCCTCCGGTTTCTTCAGCGGGTTCCTGTGCAGACAGAAGATCGAAGAGAGAAGGAGAGGTGAATATGTATAGGTAGCGTGTGTGTGCATGGATGTTGGCCATCGGACATGGCGATGTTTACACTTCACCGCATTACGCCATACCTGCGCTGCGTCATCCTTGCTGCAATGTAGCCCTGGCGATGTTGCCATCTTGCAAGCTGGTATGTGTGTGCTGGTAACCCGAACCTGTGATTTGGCTTAAGGAAAAAACTTCTGAGTTTTGGTGGTCGGGATGCGATGTGCGGAGCGGCAGATATCGGAATGAGTGAGAAATGACGTTGAAGGATTGTATCGTCTTCATTTTGGGGACAGGGGTACTGGGCTTTTGGGCGTGTTTGAGGCGGTGTGGATGCTTTTAGGGTACTATCGCCAAGTCTGCAAGGGCTCAAAAACTGTGATTTCGGTTTCTTGAGTGGTTGGCAGGGAGCGATGGCTTTTATGATCAGGAACGTCTTAGGTTAGGGAAGCGTAGATAGTTGTGGTGATTGAAGGGTCGCATCGTACAGTAGCGATGTCCGGGAAACAGTGTCAATGGGGCACCAGAGGACAGGACAGAGTGGAGGAGAGGTGGATATGCGTAGGTAGGGTGTGCGCATGGGTGTTAGTGATTGTCATCTGGTTCTTTGCAGTCATTGGACGTAAGCACATTTACGGGGTTAGATTGCAGCTGTATCCGTGGCGAGTGGTTGAGAGTTGTTTGACGCAACCAGACGATTTCTTGTTACCTGCTAGAGCGAGAGATGTCCGCTGGGTGCAAATTTCTCTGTAATGTTGCTTGGGAGGCCTGTCTTGGAGTTGATGCGAAGTGCTGTCGAGGCGGAATCACTGTTTTCGACGAGACGGTCAAAGAGGTCACAGATGTTCTGCATCTGTTTATAGCGTGCGCTTGTTTGTAACGTTCTGTAAATACCTGTAATATGTTTAGGGTTTTAACATCGGTGGAGTAGCAGGAGGAAATCCTGTTTGCTGTAGTTGGAATGAGCTATTGCTTTAGAACGGGTGTTTTTTTTTTTTTTGAGGTCGTTCCTGCGACTGGGTAGAAGTCAAGCCTCCCCCCCCGTTTTTTTTTGTTTTTTTCTTCTTGCAGTTAGTTTACTAACCAGAGAGCACGACTTGAATCCAAGAATGTTTAGTTTCCCTTTCCCTCATCTCTTTTTCTCCTGCAATCATCCTCGAAAAAACGCTTGATAATATCAGATTCTCTGCGGAGGTCCTAGGGGTTTCTTGGCAGTACAATTGAATCCCCACCTCCTGAGTTTAATGTGTGACAGTACATGATATCGAGGTACATTCTTGTGGATTGATTTGGCCTGTAACCTGCTTTTCTCAGGAGCTGGAATCACTGGGTTTAGAACAAGTCACCGATGAAGCAAGTTGCGTGGAATGATATGGTGTCATTTTGAGTTTGGATTTTCATGTGTTCGAGGAAACCACAGGTTGTTTACCTGCAGTAGTGAATCTTATCCGGAGGGATAAAGTGGTGCAGTGGTCAAGGCTTTCCAGATGACAAGCTAAGACGATCTGAAGTACAGGGTGGAGTGCAGGCCGTGAGCCATTTGCGCGCTCATATCATTGAGTAACAATGGCTGATACCATTGGTATTATTTTGGAGTACTTGCACCGGCACCATTTTACGAGGGCAGAGACAGTTCTAAGGGAGGAGGTCAGCGAACGGCGGCAGTTCAGTAGTCTTGCTCCTCTTCCATTGAACGACGACCGGGACCTTGATGTTGTCATATGTCTCAATTCGATGCAAGAGAAATCTGGACAGAAGCGGGGTGAATTGGAAGCGTTGCCTAATAAACGACCGCAGGACAAGTTGGTGACAAACGTAGAACCCGCTGCAGCATTGGGGTTGGCAGTGAAGGAGTTGCCTCATGGTCAAGTAGAATCCATATGGCCATCGACGAAGGTGGAGGTGTCTGAACCGTTGTTTATGGAGTTCGATGTGGTGGAATTAGAACATTCGACAAAGCCAAAATTCGTGTTCAGTGTTGAGAATTCGCCATCGCCAGTGTTGGTCTCTCCCACGTCTGAGAGCAAAACCGTTGAGCTAAGCAGGTCTCCGGTAAGTGAAGTGAGTTTATGTCTTTCGTATGGTAGCCTTGAGTCGTCTTTGTTCTCTAGAACCACTGGAAGTGGTCGTTTCTTAATTTATTTGTGAGGAACAAGCCACTGTAGGCAGGGTTACAACTTTCCTGACGACGTATCTTACATACTAGTTGGGTTGAAGGTATTGTGCGTCTACAAGCATTTCCAAGCCTTGCTTGACCTTAAAATTGCACTAGACTGTTTTCTGACTCTTAGGAGTCTTCGTTTGAGGGAACAGATTAATGGTTTTAATCATTTTTCACAACATTATGTTGTCATTGTCACCGCAGGGAAGGATAGGAGGCCTGAGTACTCTTCAGACTGAGGCGGAGGTAGCAGCCACTTCTTCTGTTGAGAAAGTAGTTTCAGAGCGCCAGAAGTTGGAAGCTAGTGACTTGTTGTCAGAAAAGCTTCCAGATTCTAATATTAGAGGAGGATCCCATCCAGCAAGCCACTTGGAGAAGGAGTTGTTTCTAGCTCAAGAGACATCTTCCGCACAAGTACTGTGTGAAGCAACTCGAGGAAAAGTAGATGCTTTGAAACAGGTGGGGTACCCTTGGAGAAGGGAACAATAGTTTTCTTCAGGTTTGCGCCCGACTGTAGTTTCTGGTGCATGATGGAACATTCATTATGAAAGAGTAAAAGTGAGTGAGTGAGTGCGAGTTTGTGGGTGATGTGTCCTTTTCAGAGGAGGGCTGTCGCCAAAATAGGATATCATCAGTTGAGCTGTATTCGGTATCTGCCATTTCTTGCAGAGTCAGTTCTTTTTGTAGATGTGTACAGTCCTCCCCTGTCGCGTGCGTGTATGTTGTCTTCAACACTCGTCAACGCATTTCTGTAATTTCATGTTACCCCGTCAGTGACCGTGGCCTCGGAACTGGTTTTTGAAGTACACCTGGAGGACGGGCGAACACATGTTTAGTTTTTTGCAGTAAAGCTGGTCTGTGTCTGTGTCTGTGTCCGTGTTGTTTGATCAATTTTGGGCTATTCGCGGAGATCAGATGCTGACGAAGATCATATCTGTTCACAGAGGTGGGAGCCCAAGACTACGGACAAGCCCACCCTCGAACGAGAGAAAAGCTCTCGAGCTGTTATGACAACGACAAAGAAAGAAGAAAGTCAGACTGAAAAAGTGGTAATCATTTTGTTCCTGAACACCTGCTCGGTCCCACAGGTTCTTTGTGGGTGTGGTTTGCAAGATGAAATGCTCGGATAGGGACTGGGTGGATACCTCACACTGAGAACCGTTTCTTTTAGACTTTTTTTAAAGTTAGCTGGGCTGACGAAGTACTTGTGAAGTGCGTATCGTGCTTTGCACTGTACCGTGCTCTGTTTACATCTCCGCATCTGACTATTTCGAAGGATATTCAGAAGTTTTCTTGAACGTTATCATCTTTCTTACTCCTTCCTGACTTTCTTCTCCGTATATTTATATATCAATTTAGCAGGATATGCAGTATGAATTCAAGAATTGCAGTTCGAACATCAGCCCAGAAATTGGTGTTCGTCTTCTGTGTTTTAATTGTGCTGTTGTCTGCAGATTGACAGCAATGGGCGACTCACACCTATCCAAGCTATTGAGAATAATCCTCTTGATTCCACAATTGATGTGCAATTGATGCCTAGGGATAAGTCTAATGTGAATGCAGTACTGCACCACGGTACAAAAGCAGAAGGTACTGGCGCTGGAAGCATGGATCCCAGCGTGCCTAAAAGTCCTGAATGGACAGAAGTTCCTATCAAGACCATTCCGCCCATGAAGGCAAGCGCCTCGGTTGCAGCAGATGGGAAGAAGAATTCCGAGGAGCGAAGGGAGGAAACTTTTTCTGTAATTCCTTCTTACTCTTATTCCGAACGGTTTCAGACTGGTCCTAAGTTGGAGCCATTATCCCAAGCATCCGGTAAACAAGGCAGCGACTCACAGCCTGCGGATGTTTCTGTTGATGAAGTCAAAAAGCATGCCACAGTAGATTTGTCAAGACTTGAAGAGACAAGTTCAACAGTTGTGGAGAGAAAATTAACATGTGTGGCCCCCAGATCAGCCCAGGAGGGTCTTCCCAAACTTGCACCTGTTAGGTTGCGTTCAATTGATGCCAAAACGCTTGAAATAGTACAGGATGAATGTGTTAGTGATGTCAAGAAGGTTGAATCTCCACCACCTGTGAATGTTGCTGGAACTGCGAACGCTACTGCCTTTGGACTAGGGTCCTATCTTGACATTCCTGTCGGGCAGGACATCTCATCAGGTACGTATTTTGTGCTTCTGGATTCTTCTCTTGCTCTCTCGATTCGTCATTCAATTTCGCTCAAGTTGATTCTTGTTGTTGAACACGCAGTTTTTACTGGTATGAGACTCTGGTGGAATGGGAGGTATTGTGAAATCGACATTTTTGCACAAGCATTCCGCGCTGGCTAATTTTGAACGGGTCTTCTGAGGTTTAATGCACAGTTTTCTACTACTGGTGTTCATAATTGTAGGGTCTCGCCGCATGCCTGCGTCTGCACGGCCTTCAGTGAGCCATGGCATTGTAGAGGATCAGTCTGAGATCCTGTCTGGGTTTGGAACAACAGGAGATGGGCAGAGTGATTCTGCAGTGGAGTACGCTGACGAGTATTGGGACTCTGATACTTACGAGGATGATGACGATCCCGGGTACCATAGACAACCAATCGAAGATGAGGAGTGGTTCTTGGCACATGAAATCGATTATCCTAGTGATGATGAACGTGCCCGTCCCAACGTTGAAGCTCAACGAAGCTCTCGCCGTGAGAAGGATTATGAAAAGTATGAGAAGTATGAGAGGGATGAGCCTGAAGATTGTTCCGTTCTGGAAGAAGAGGCAAGCTTATTCCCGTTGTCTTGATTTTGCGTCGATGTGTTCAATGTTTTGCATGAATTGTAGATACTTCTTGTACAAGCCCGAGACACTGCAAGTTGTTCCAAGGTTGTTAAACGGAGGTCCCTGCGAAGCGTGCAAAGCTTTTTTCATCCTGTGCATGCAGCAGTAATTAATGTGTTAGTTAAGGTGATCAGACTGTACTTGGTTATGCCATTTAGGAATTTTTGGCATGCCTCTCCGTTTATCCTGTTCTGGTCCTGGGCTGTTCCAGAAAGTTTCGTGTGTGCCAATTGAACATTCTCTTGTTCTTTGGGCACACGACATGAAGTGAAGCACTTTGTAACTGTCTTGACTAAGAATGTTAATGTCTCTCTGGTTAGCAGTCCTATTTTTCTGGAGAGGAGTCTCTTGCCCATCGCATCAAGGAAGGGAGAGAAGAGAGAAAATCTCCAATAGAAGTTCACGAGATTCAGACCAGTGAGTTATTTGGGCGCATGGATGGTGGAGATAATTTTGGTATTAATGGCCAGGTATAGTCACATCCACTCTCTGCAGGTTAAACAGCTGTAGAGTGCGAATGTGTAGGACAGGATAACTTTATACTTGTGCAGAAGACATCACTGAACGAGTAGAGCGTCCTTGATCATGTACTATACTTTGGGTGCGTGTAGGTCTAATTCTCAATATTTTCCTCACGATGGAAGTAAAATATTTCTCGAGCATAGCCAGATCAGGATTTGGTTTTACTCACCATTCCTTGTCATTCTTTCTGGCTTCTAGGCAGAAGAGACTGGTCGTACAGACAGGTCTTAGTGTCTTGTCGCATAGTGAATCGGATTAGGCTTGGCCTGCATGTATCAAATCAGTGAAGTTGCTCATGACAACATTGTTTCTAATCAAATCAAGTCTGGTGCTCGTAGTCCACCGGCTTGATTAATCAGATGACCTTGTCTTGTTGAATGTATACTGGTAAGCAGGAATTCTTCAGTAGTGTACCGTGAGTCTGACTAAGTTTCTCTAAGGTGTTGAGCTCCCAGCACAAGGTCTCTAAAACTGTTTCATTTCTTTTTCATAACAATCGTTGTGTACATTCAGGTTGCCAACGCCACACGCATCCTTGATCCAGGACAGTTCAACAGACAGTTATTGGGTGCGGACGGTGTTCCTTTGATGGGTAGTGACTCAAGGTGGCAGAGTTTGGATCCTTCGAAGGGAACTCAGTCAGAAGAGGGAGGCAGTAAGCAACATGATTACGGAAGAGCCGTTCAAGATATTAGTATCTTCAAAGTTGAGGAAGACAGAGTGGGTTTAGTGCGGTTTGGTGGAATGGGCGGGAGTGGCGAAGTTGCAGAATCTGGTAGCGTAAGGCGTGAGAGTGTGCGTGCGGAAAGCAGTGAGGGAGATTTGGACATGAGTGGAATCGTTGCTCGTAGCATGAGGCACCTCAGCTCATTATCTCAAGTGGGGAATAGTGACATTGGAAAGGCACAGGAAACTGAGAGTAGTCGGAAACATGACGACGAAGAGGAAGACCTTATTCTGAAATACTACAACAGCCCGTGGGTAAACCACAAGAATCGTGAAGGTGAGCGGGAAGCTTCAAGTTTAGATACTATACAGTTCCTGAACCGAGAGAATGAGAAATCCTGTGGGACGCAGGTCAGCAGTATCCGTGATGGAGAGAGTCATCGGCACAAAGATTCTGAACTAGCTGGTGCTACAGGGTTTGGTGGGTTTTCGTTTCCTTCCCCATCTGCGAGTGGAGGAGACATTGGAACTGTATCGAGGGTAGGCTCAGGGAAGTCCATGTGGTCGGTGAGAGATATCACTGGGCAAGCTCTGGGCGAGGAGACTGAGGACTATGGGAATGGTGCATCGGAGCCCGATGATCCTTTAGCTTCTTGGAGGCGCAAGAGCAATGACTCTTCACCCATTCTAAGTCCCCGTGAGGCTGGTCATCAAGATTTGTTCATGCGGTCCACTGGATCAGCTAAATCGACGGATGGATATGGCAGTGCAGTTGCCAAGGTGAAGGAATCTATCCCACGTAGTTGGTATTTATCTACAAGTTTTGGTGAAGTTACGTGAACAGCTTGAACTACTGAGAGCTGATGTTAGAAATTTGGTCAACCGGGTGGCATGCGCAATTCGGTGGCACATCATCTCTTAGCAGTTAGTCATTTTATATTGTATTGTATCATATCATATTTTTGTATTTTTAATTTGTTAGATACCTGTGCAGGATGGCGATGCTGAAGAAGGTGACGAAATTGAGCAAGAACCAGAGGAGGAAAGCATGTTGGAGGTGGATCAGCAAATTAGAGAAGCTGAAGCTGCTGCAGCTGAAGACGAAGAAGCCGCAGCAATACAAGAACAAATTAGAAGAATGCGAACTGACGAAGAGTTCGAGACATTCGATTTGAAGATCATTCACCGAAAGAACAGGTATTGTCGCTAAGTTGATGGGTCCTATTCTAGCCTTTGCTAGTGCCAGGGTTGCGATGTTATGGGCGTGAAATGTCATCCATATAACCTTCACCTTGGTCGTGGTTCAGGCTTATCGTTGTATTAAGGGAACCCTGCAATGCTCATGTATTGGATTCTTTTTGGTTTGTTGTAGTTACGGTCCACCTGATACCAATCGCTTGGGTTTGTAGGACTGGATTTGAGGAGGACAAAGACTTTCCAGTTGTAATTAATGCAGTTGTTGCTGGTCGCTATCATGTGACGGAGTATCTGGGTTCTGCTGCCTTCAGCAAAGCCATTCAAGCTCACGATTTGCATACGGGAATGGACGTATGTATGAAGATAATTAAGAACAATAAAGACTTCTTTGATCAGAGTCTTGATGAAATCAAGCTTCTCAAGTATATCAACAAGCACGACCCTGGTGACAAGCACCATCTCTTGCGGCTGTACGACTACTTTTACCACCGGGTAATTAGGGTGGCCTTTTTGTTGCATGTCTTTGAGCCATGCGGACTTCTCTGTACTGTAGAAAGTGAATGTACACCTACGTATAGCTGTGTGCGTGCGAGTTTGTGGAGGCGCGCAAGCGAGTGTGTGTACACCTTTGCCTTTGGTTTATATAGGTAAGCGCTAAATATTGGTGGTGGTGATTGTAGGAGCACCTGTTCATCGTTTGTGAGTTACTTCGAGCTAACCTATACGAGTTTCATAAATACAACAGAGAATCAGGTGGCGAGGTGTACTTTACGATGCCCCGTCTTCAGGTGTGTTCTCTCATCCTTAATCCCGACGTTGTTTACGTTTTTTTCTCTTTACTATCTGTGTTGACAATCCACTTATGATTGATTTATAGTAGATTTCCCTCTTACGTAGCGTATACAATTTTCTGGCAACTGAATGTATGTATTGACTTAGTTGATCCTCTAATTGTCCTGCAAGATTTTGAACAGTTCTGCATCACAGATGTGATTCTCAAGACGTATCTTGGATAAAAACTTGGTTCTTGAGTGGAATTTAAGTCTACCAATGTGAACACCTACTAAGAGTTGGTTCAAGTTTCCTTCGTTGTTAAATTGCGCGTCGATCACTAATCTCTTATGTTATGTGTAGTCAATCGCACGACAATGCCTGGAGGCTCTGGAGTTTATTCATGGTTTGGGCCTGATTCACTGTGATTTGAAACCGGAGAATATCCTGGTGAAAAGTTACAGTCGTTGTGAAATCAAAGTGATCGATTTGGGAAGCAGTTGTTTTCAGACAGATCATCTTTGCTCTTATGTGCAATCTCGCTCATATCGAGCTCCTGAAGTTATTCTTGGCCTTCCTTATGATCAGAAGATCGACATGTGGTCATTGGGCTGCATTCTTGCAGAACTCTGTTCAGGAAATGTAAGAACCTGCCCGTGTGCTTTGTCCATGCTTTGTAGTTGCCTGAAAATGTGTGAAAGCTCTTTCCTTTGGTGGGCATACACGTTTAGAGGTCGGTTTGTTCTGGATGTTGGAAGTGGGTGAGTTGTGGTGTAGGTTTAAGTAATGATATTCAAGAAATGCCAGGATGAGGATCAGACTTAGGTGGGTGTTACATTACATTATCTATTCCAGCAGCCGTACCTTTGCAGAACCTCGTCACCTAATGAGGTTGGGATGCATGTGTAGGTGCTTTTCCAAAACGATTCCCTGGCAACGTTATTGGCCCGGGTGGTAGGAATTCTAGGTCCTATCGACCCAGAGCTTTTAAGTAAAGGACGGGACTCTCACAAGTTCTTCACCAAAAACCATACGCTCTATGAACGGAATCAGGTAAGTTTTGGTTGAAAGTATTTGGTATGAGTTTGAGTATGTTAACTAATCCTGGATCACTTTCGAGTATTCAAGAAATTAAAATTGGTCATGTCTCTTGCCATGATATTTCTGCTACAAGCATTGTCTCCATGTTGTAAAGCTTTATGTATGTACTATTTCTGAACAGTATGGGTGGTATTGTAGTTGTCCGTTTGTCACCACTGCTCATGATTCATGCTTTCGAACCTAGTATTTTACTATTGTATATCATAAAGTCTTGTAAAGAAATGGTTTTTCAAACCGACAGAGTGTGGTCTCATGATTTTGTTTCAGCTATACTAAGAGTACTGCTTTATGATGGTTGGCAGGATTCTGACCAACTGGAGTATCTGCTGCCAAAGAAAACATCTCTGGCCCATCGGCTACCCATGGGCGACCAGGGCTTTGTGGCATTTGTTGGCTACCTTCTCAACATTAACCCTCTTCTGCGTCCTACTGCTAGCGAGGCCCTGAAACACCCTTGGCTGTCATTCCCATATGAACCTATTTCTTCATGATGGGAGCCACCATAATTCTCCAGCTTTTCATTTTGAGAAGTTCTCCAATCAACGTGGTTCCTTACTTCCTCCTGTAGAATATGCTCTGAAGGTCAAGTCCTGAATTTCGCTGGTGATCATCTGCTCTTCCCAAGGACCATGGAATTGTTGAATCTTTCAGTTCGTCTGATGATTGTTAATCAGTGCAAGGTCCAGGCTTGGTCTGCAGTAGCCTCACTGAGGTTCAAAGAATCTCCTATTTCTATTCTTCCACAACCTAATTATGCTTTCTACATCTGGGTGCTCAAACTTGGGTAAGACCGGCTTGTGGACAACTGGATAGGGTAGGGAGAAGCACAAATATCAGGCATACGGTCACAACGTTCAGTAGTGGGGCATATCCGGACAACTGAAAACTTAGACTTAAGGAATTAGGATCAAACTGTCAATGTACAGTTTAGCAGAAACCTTCCGTCCCAAGGTTCTATTGATTTATCACAGCGTAGGCGGTTTCACAGGCGGGTTTGCCTTATGCAGGAATAGTGGCCTGTTCACAAGTATCAATCATGTACTTTACCATTTTTCTGTGTCTTTGTCGAAGTGTGTTTGACCAGGAGGCTTAGTGTCATGTCCATGCACCCAGCATTGAATTACTTTATGCTTCTGCAACCTCTATGTCCTTAGTAAGCATTCACGCCTGCATCTATCAACTGGTTGGGAGCAAAGTCTGCTTCTCGGAGATCAGCTACGGAAACACAAATGAACGAAAGTGGGAGAGAATGAAGGGGTGAGCCACATGGAGAACCTTTGCAATATACAGAGCTGCCCCTGTCCCTTTTCATGATATTTGGGTTTGGACCAAATTTGTCGAAGCAGACTCTGCAGGCTGCAGGTCATGCTATCTGGCTAAAGTTAGAGCGTTGGGGGCTCCACTATGGTGTCATACCTTTTCTTTTATTTGCATTATACAGTTGCTTTTTCTAATTTCTCTAATTATAGACTTGGGCATTCCATTTGCAATCCTTTCCAGGAGAATCTTCAAAACACAGCTTGGTAAGCAGGGGAGGCGATAGATTATTTTTGAAATATAAGAATTTTTTGGATGTAATTTCTACATTTTTCAACCACTCTTAAAAGATTTATTTTGAATTTTTTTGAAGACAAAGGTGGTGGTGGTAAATTGCATAAGCAATTGGTGAGGCTGCATAGATGCAAAGGGCAAACAAAGGGATGCTTAGAGAAGTTTTCTTGGAATTAGAGTGGTTATGTAACTTCAGCTATAGAAGAAGTTGCAAAGGAAATAAGATTATATACAGAATTTGAACCCTTAAGATGCAACCAATTAAACCCATGTGCATTAGAAGAAATTGATCAAGATGAGAAAGAATTATATGAAAGATTGTGCAATGAAGCAAAAAAAGTAAGCCATAATTTAAATGATTTCAAATTTTTCAATTACATATTATAGTTGCAAAGTGGTATTCAAAAATTTGGAAAAAGAGTGGTTGATACAATCAAGTTTTTTACAACACCTTGTGATCCAAAGCTCCCAATGTGTACTTACCTTATGTTTAAAAGTGTGAATAAGTCTTATTCAAATTTGAGGTCATATAATTGGTATCTATTGTGAAAATATTATGTAGGATAAATGCAGTGATTTATGATAGGAAATTGGAATGTGCGATTTAGAATCAAGTTAAAATAATTGTTAGTATTTCATCATGGCTTATCTTTTAGAATCATTTAGAAGATTTTTATCAATAGCTTGGAGGTTGGTAGTGTATTTTTGGATTCAAAGATTTATAAACAATGTTGAAGTTATTAGCATGACAAGATACCAATGAAGATATTTGAAAAGAATGTCAAATTCGCATTAGAAGAATGCAAGATTTATTAGAGAAGAAAGATCATTTGAACACAAAATAATGTGCAAATCTATGCAAGAAAATTTCTTATATTATAAAGGTCTTTTAGCAACTAATGACTTGCAACAATGATAGAATGGAGTATAGATTTTTATTACATGTATTATTTATTGTGGTGAGTAAAGCAAAATCATCTATAAAGAATTGAAGGGATCAAAATTGGTGTCAAGCAGCTATGTTCTAATTAAAAAACAAAGAGACTTTTAGAGAACTTCTTTGAGATTTAAAGTATTGTTATGATGTGACAAGTGATATGCTTAGAAAGCACAATTGGAATACATTTACAGACACCACATGTACTGCTTTTGCTAGTTCAACTTTTAATGAAGTGGAAGGTGATAATAAAGATCTTTATACAAGGTTGGTCTTTGCAAGTGGAGATGAAAATTTTGAATATTATGAACTAGCAAAGAATCTATTACAAAGATTAAAAGACATGCATTGCTCAAAAGATAGAAAATTGGATGCCTTGAAGTTATTATCAAACATGATAAATATTGAAAGCATGGAACTCATAAGCAAATGATCTTTTAGAGAAGTTTACAAAGTAAAGTGTTAGTGGCTTTTGTGTGCAATAAAAAAGATGCATGTTGGATATAATAAATTTTTCATTAGAGAAGTGAGCATTCTAATAGGTCTAAGCCATCTCAACTTGATTAATTATTATTTTGCAATGAAAGATGATAATGGTGATGGTTAATCTTATGCTACAAAAATGAAATAAAATAAAATTTTATATTTGGAAATATATTTGATGAAAATAAGCTTAAAAAATGTGTTGAAAGAAAAAGAAGGAAGATCATATGTTTTTCAGGTTGATATTGTGCATCAAATTGTAAGAAGAATGTGCTACTAACATGACATGCACATTGCACATCAAGACTTGAAGCCAAACAATGTCTTATTTAATATTATAGAAAAAAAAAAGTATTTACAAAATATTGATAAATTTGAAAAAAAAGTTTTGATAGAAAGTGGTATTGCTAAAACACCACATTTTGATTTATGGAGAGAAAAGATTCATCAATTCATACAATCATAGAAAACTAACAATAGGATACTATTGGTAAGACCCACACAAATAAATATGGTGAATATGCATGGAGTTATTTGGATTGATTTTAATGTTATATAATTACTAACCTTTGTGATATGATGATGATTAGATGCCTTTGAATAAGTATGAGTTTGTAAAATTAGATACACTATGGAGTTTGATTGATTTATGGTTGTGTTTGTGAGTATAGGTTGAATCATTGGAAGAAGAGTTATTGGATCAAGCTCAATGTCTATTGCATATTAAACAACTATGTGCAAATAATATAAAGGCAATATATTTGGGTGGTATAAGTGGAATAAATAAGACCATAATAGCAAAGATTGCATTCAATGATGCAAAAAACATGTTTGATGAATCATAATTTTTTGAATGTAATAAAAGTGGTAGAAATTACTTGATAATTTCGTATAAAATCTTGGAGCAATTTTAAGAGAAATTAAAACCAAAAGATATAGAAGAAGCTCAAAAAATATTGAAATTATTCTTTAAAAAGAATAAAATCATTCTAATCGTTGATGATGTGAAGAAGTAAAGCCAAATGGAAGACATTGTGACTATAGATGCATTGTTTGCTAGCAATGGTAGCATGTTAATTGTAACAACTTGAAATTAGAAATCAATAGAAAATTTTGGTGTAGAATTTTATATGATAAATATTAAAGAACTTCATGAAGAAACAAATATGAGGTTTTTCATTACTTTATTCTTATGGATACCAAGCGACATTACCTAATGAACTTGTTGAGATTAGCAATGTAATTGTAAAAGCTTACAATGGCCTACTTTTGAGCCTTGAAGTCATGGGTGCATTTTTAAGAAGCCAAAAGAAGTTGAGATGTTGGGAGAGAGCTTTACAAAGGTTGAAGATAGGAAGAAATTTGGATGGAAATGAAAAGAATAGTGACCACAAGATATGGAATATTTTAAGAGTAAGCTTTAACAACTTGAAAGATGAAGAAAAAAAAATGTTTTTAGACATATATTGTTTATTTGGTAGTGATGTGTACCTCCAAGGCATGTTGAAATGAAGAGCCTTACAAATATAGACTAACAATAAAGATGGTATTTTAAAAAAAAATATACAAATTACATTGGATATATTGATTTATCAATCATTAGCTAAAATAGATAAAGGTGGAAATATAAGAATGCATGATCAATTATAAGACATGGACCAAAGGATTATTAAAATTGAGTTAGAGACTAAGAGCACAAGAATGTGAAATATGAATATAGAGCTATTAGAAGGATTTGCAAATAAGATATGTTCTAGACTCTTATTAAAATAAAATGTTTAGAAATAATTATAAAAAACATAAATTAAAATATGGATATTAGAAATATGGTGTTTTTATATCATAGTAGAAATTTTATACATTTTCAAGTAGATTTTGATGAAAAGTTTTTATTTTGATTTTAGATTATTGTAAATTGTATATGAATAATAAGAGGATTAGAAGTGTGATAATTTTGAAGTTGTTATGTTTGGATTGTGTTGTTGTATAATAGAATGGATAATCTTACAACAATCAAAATAACAATATTGTTATTGAAATTGGAGGATTTGTTTTTTTAAGAATTGAAAAATTAAGCTTTAGAAGTAATAAAATTATATTAAAAGATATTGTAAATAATTTTAGTAGATTTCCTATGTTGACAAAATATTCTATTAACTTAAAATATTTATTATTTTGTATGAAGAAGAAAAAAAATAAAATAGATTTTTTGTCTATATAATACTAATGAAATAAAATTATAAGAATAAAAAGTATATAAAGGATTTATGATATTTTTTAAAGCATATAAATATTATTTTTTATAATTTTTTTATGCTTTTCCTGCTTTTTATATGCTATTATACTAATTTATAGTGCTTTTTATGCTTCTATTCAAAATGTAATATTTTAGATATCAATGTTTTTTTAGTAACAATATGACAAGCAATGTGCAACTATAATTAGGAGAGATAGAAAATATATAATAATATAGGAATCTTTTTTATAACACTTATAACTTGTTTATAGATCAAAAGTTTATAATAAAATGATATAATAGAATGTCACTTGTAATCTCTTTATTATGTACTTTCTTATGATATTTACAACATAGCTTTGTAGCTATTTATAGTTGTCATATAATGAGTTTTTTTTTATTACTATTCAAACATAATAAAACTACTTTATTTCTAACTACCTTAACTACCAAAGGTGGTTTTAACCACCTTGTCTTTTTAATACATGGACGGCTAACTACTTTGTCCTTTTATACTAACTTGTCTTTTTCCTAATCCTATTTACAGTAGCTTTCCTAGAATTTATTTTTATACCAAGTCTTCTCTTCTTCCTTTCTTTTAAATTGAAGGGTTTTCTTCTTCTTCTTATATAATAATTTATGTCTAAAGTTTCTCTAAAATATAGCTTCTAAAGAATATAAAATCTTTATTTTATTTATTAAATAATAAATACAATTCTAAGATTAACAAATTATATTATAATATATATATATATATAATCTCTAACTTAATCATTATTATTTTTTCTAATATATAAATCTATAATTTATGAAATATATTTAATTTTTTATTATAATATTAAAAAATAATCTAAATTATGAATATTTATTTTTGGTTCTAAAATCTGTATAAGTCTTTTATTATATATATATATATATATATATATATACAAAAATACTCTAATTATGCAGAATTAGAATAAAACTAAGCAATGTATTTAATGTACATCCCAATTATTCTTCTTTATATATATTTCTTGTATCTACATTTTTAAAATTTATGAAATACAGTATTATTAAATATTCTTTTGCATTGTGTGTTGTATTAAAGTTTTAGAAATTAATTGTAACTCATAAATAAATAAATAATGAAAAAAAAATCTGAAACACTTTTACAAGGTAAAATAATATATACTTTTGTATTTATTAATAAATTTTATTTTAAAACATGCACTGAATAGTATGTGTATATACATACATACATACATGAATATAATTTTTTAAAATATTTATGTCTTTTAGAGCTATCAAAATTATTAATGTTTAACAAATCTGACTTACAAATACTAAATCAAATTAGTTAAAATAAAAATCAAGATGATTCTTATAAACTTTAATTTTATTAATTTATTGTAAATATTTTTTTTGTGTTCAACACTTTTCACAATTAGATGTAACATGTTGCCTTTTGTTTGTTTATCACATTTAAAATCATTTATTGACAAAACATACATTGTATGCACAACATTGCACACACTCTTTATTCATATATTTGGATTTTTAGAATGAATTAGTGAAATTCGATTAAGAATAAGAACAAGTAAATTAAACATTGAAAATCATTTAAATAAAACTGAGTTTTTTTTTTTTATTATTTTACTAGTATTGAACAAATTGCAAGCTTTAAACGAACTGTATCTGTATGTATATATATAACAGGAATTTATTGATTGGATAAACATTTTTAAATGGAACCATTCACAAGACACCATTAGATTGTAGCTCAACAAATAAAGAGACAGATTTCTTATGATAATCTTAAACGAACTACCTAAAAAAGTGTTGGGAGTATAATTTTATATATAGGATAATATATATAGAGAGAGAGAGATAGTGAGAGACATATGTAACCATATTTGAATGAATACTTCATAAAAAGAATTTATCCCTTGTTCATGCACAGGCACATATTTTTGAATCACAAATACAAATCTTTCCACACAGGTGGCCCCTATATCCAGTTGGTTCAATCGACTGGCTCGAGACATCTCGGCCGTCAGATTTCCAGATTGAATCCTGGCCGTTACAGGATTTATTGGGAACGGAGGAAGGGAACGGAAGAGAATCAGGGGAAGGGGGCAGGTTGGGAACTCAGAACCCAGTGCTCATGGGGCCCGCAGTGGTCCATATTCACATGGGTGCTGAAGTTTGTGCAGGAGATGCTCCTCTATCCCAATTTTCAACCATCACTCATGCTTCAAAAAATATTTTGAATATAGTACTAGTGAAATAAGATATTGAATTATACCATTTCGTATTTTTAGAATAATAATATTTGAAATGAATAGTTGTTCCTCACAATAACTAGTGATCAACTGATTTGTTTATTTTTGTCATGTAAGAAACTTTTTACTGGTAAAAAAATTAACTTTTTTTTTGACACATTCTAAAATTTACAGCTAATATTTTGGATTGTGCAAGAATTATCTTTATGAACCTTTAGAATAAGATGACATTTCTACTTCTAGAGATGGAATTTATCCTCAAATCCGTGTGTGCGCAATGTCGATACAAAATCCTCCATAATCTAAAAACTCTAAATAACCCCTCGAGCTCCTGCGCTCTCCTGCCCGCCTCTGCGTTCCCCTTGGCGCTCCCCCGCGTTCTCGACAGATCGTGAAACAGCTAGAATTGACTCTTTAGATCTGACGGCTGAGATGTCTCGAGCCAGTCGATTGAATAGTGAGGTTTCTGCGACACGTAGTGACGAGGCCATGCAACCGCGGCTGCCATGAATGTCTGGTTTCGGCACAATCGCTGCACTCCTCACCAGACGTGGGTGAGCTGTAGTTGTTTCCAGCAATTGGGTTCTCTTCCTCGTATTGCGGTTCGTCTGGCATTTTGTTGGAAACCGCATTATGAGGGGGAGCAGAGACGTGCCAGAGTTTTTTTGCCTCTTAATTTCGAGGGCAACTAGATCATCGGGATCGGAGCATGTTGCATCCAACAGTTGTAGCTTTCCAACTTTCTTCCAGTGTCAGTCCTCACAGTCATGACAATTTCGTGATAGTTTCTTCCGTCAGTCCGATGAGTCGTAGATCGATCGTTATCAATCGTTAAACGAAAGCTATCTTTTTCATGATATTCTACGTGAACGCGCGTGTGGTCGTGCATTTGGATTGGACTGTCATCAAACAATTGCCAGAAAAAAACGGGGACACCGTTCTTAAATACCTCCTGCTTATGAGGATGCTTACATTGAATGTTTTGAGTTTCATGTTAGTACCACGCTTGAATAGCGTTGAATGCGTGTACACTATGAATCAATCAAGTCAGTCAGTCGCTAACTGAGATTGTTGTGGTCTCATAGACCAGTCTAAGAATCCTTCACAGCGACTCTTTCTCAAGATCCTAGGCAAGACGAAAAAAATCATCAGTTGGAAGACTTACGAGTGCGGGGTCCCAGATGCGGGTGAGAATTGCTGATCAATCGGAGACATCCTTAATGAATGGGGTTAGGATTACAGCTAATAATATTTACTGCTACAAAATACTTGGCATTTGATGGTCTGTCGATGTACATTAAAGCCTGGGGTGATCATCACGCTGATCTTGGAGCGACTCGGGTCCTCCTCGTAAGTGGTCACCTGCTCCATGTAGCGGGGATCAAAGTCCATGGCCGGCGCGACGCGAAAAATTGACACCGGGGTGTCACTTGCGAAGGCTAGGTGGTGCAGGAGCCACACGGACTTGAAGGCGTTGAAGAAGGTGCCCAGGAGTGCGAGCGAGGTCTCTTTATCTGCTACTTTGGTGAGCTGCGAGAGGATGAGCTCAACGCGTATGACGAAGAAGCGGTGGAAGGTAGGGTTCACAATCGTGGAGTCAGGTTTGCCGAGGGATTTCTCAATGCTGGACCATTCCTGCTTCTTGAGTTCATTGTAAGCCTTGCAGCATGTGGCTCGGAGTGCTTCGGGATCAAGAATTGGAACAGAGCCGCTAGGCTCGTAGGAAATGTTCTCGAAATTCTCGTACATGATCTGATTGAGGAAGGACTCGAAGTAAAGGATAATGACGCTCCGCGGCATCTTGCTTACAAGAAGTCCGGCGTCCTTTTGTTGCTCTAGAAGTGAGGTGATCACTTCCGTGGCAGACTCTCCAGACTCACGGATGTGAATGCACAAGGCGGAAGCGAGTTTTTTAACGCAAAGCTTGGCATCATCATAAGACCTCTGGAAAAGCTGCGGAGTCACTTCCAGAGTGGTAAAGCGATGCGCTTTAAACCCCAATCCAGTGCCAGTGTTGTTACGACTGTGCCTGGGCATCCCGTAATCCATGTCCATATCCCTGTTATCGACTCGTCGTTGACCTATCTGAGATTCCAGCTGCTGGCACCGCTGTTGCAATTTCTGATACTTCCCATCCATTGTTTCCATGAAAGTTTGCAACGCTTTAAGCTCACTCGCAGTGGTCTGCTCGTTCTTCTTTGCTTGCTCTAATTTGAACTGGAGCGTCTTGATAGTGTAGTCCATGACCTTGAAGGAATTAGAGTCTAGCCTCACGCTTCCCTGTTCGATGACTTGGAAGAGCTCATTGACCTTTGACCCGCCGACGTTGCTCTTCTTCTTCCCCCAGCTCATGAAATTGAACATGTTGTGAGACCCTTTCATACTCTTCGTGCTTCCTTGCCTCGTAAGCTCTGATTGGTAATCTACGCGAGTTCCATTGAACAAATTAACTTCAGAAACGTGAGGATTCAAGCCCTATACAGAGCAAATCGAAGCCTGGCAATCAGGGAACAACAGTGAATATAATTCCAATACCTGATCCCTCCTTCTCAGGTTCCGGCGGGGCCGTAGAACCATCGCCGCTACCACTGCTCCAGTCCGCCACAGATGCATTGTTCTTGTTAGCATGTCCTCGTCGTCTACTACCCTGGAATGAGGCGCCAAGATCTCTGCCGATGCCCCTCAAGGTGCTTCCAACGCCGTCACTCTTCTTTCCTGGAAACAAGGGAGAGATCGACCGCGACAGATTCCTCCATGCCTTTCCGGAAGACTTCTCAGACAATTTATCGAACTTTTCCTTCGAACCTTTAGGGCGTGGAGACGCATTCCCGTTCTGGTTCTGCTGCATCAATTTTGGTGGTCTGGAGGATGTCAGGGAATGGGCAGGACTCGGACTCTGAGGAGTGACTTCCGTCGCCGACCAATGTCTAGCTGGAGGTAGTATGTAAGAGGAAGACGTGGACGAGTCACGCTGATGTCCACCAGCTCTTGCAAAGTCCGGACTAGGAGGACTTGAGACACGCGCGTGCTGTCCTGTTGGAGTCAGCCAGCCAAAATTCTTTGATGTTGCAGAGGGGCTGGGTATATCATGAGCCGCAAGACTTGAGCGGGTCTCTACTGGCATTCGGTGAGGACTCCACAGGCTGGAATGCTTCGGCGAGTTTGTCACGCTAGTACATGCTGCCGAGGTGTGATCTCGAGCATAGAAATCATTAGGACTGGTAGATGGAATCAAGAACTTGCTTCGAGGGCTCTTCGAGCTTGTCAGAGGAGTCGCATTGCTACTCACAGTGCTTTGTTCACCGCCATTATGAAAATTCTCGCTCCGATTTGGAGACCGGTTCGGTGTATGCAATGCACTGGTAGGGCTTTTGATACGTTCCAAGAAATTATTAGGCTTCAGCGGATGTGGATGCATTTGCTCCAACTCGGGGGTATGCGTAGATATGTCAGTGTCGGTATGGATTTCCTTCCATTGGGTCGATCCATCAGAATCCCGAAAGTCCGTCTCCGCATCATGGAAATCGGCGTCACCCTGTAGACTCCGGTAACCCATATTCTTGTTGGCAGGCTGAGAGATTTCAAGGGCTCCAACACCGTGGCCGCGAGAGTCTGAATCTTTCAGCCAACTTACCACAGCCGGGCACAGAACCTAATAGAAATAAAATAAAATAAAATAAAATGTGGCGTTCCAGCAGTCGTCAATACGTCAGCATCCAAACAACTGGACCAGAGCAGGAAGAAATTTCAAATGAAGGCCCTGAACTCTCAAATGCCCTCAAGCTCAGACAATGCGGGCATGACTATTTATTTCAAAATCTTGTTCTGATTTACTAGACAAACAAAGTTTAGTGTGCATTCCTAAGCACCTGAAAACATCACAATAAGACCTATTATCAGACTCTCGATGGAAACAATGAGCAGAGTCACGTCAGTGACCGATCCAGTCGAAGAGTTAATTCTCTGAACGATCGCACATTGTCTCGCGCGAAAATTACTACAGGTTGATTAAAGAGCAATATGGGCAGAAGAATCATGGGCAAGAGCTTACAGGGGAGAAGATGGAGTACTCTGCTTGAGAAAGTGTGGTGATGCGCTGTCCTTGAGGCCGGTTTCTAGAGCCCATAGAAGTGCCAATGACATGGTGATTCTGTCCCTCAGGCTTCACAGGCCAAGAAATCTGCATTGTCCGTCCCATTCAGTCATCCCTAAACCACTTCGTTACATCACTTCCGCCACTGAGGCACCCCGAAACCTGCACATGAAGGGCAGTGTAGTCTTCCCCTCTGCAATCCGCATTCAACCTGCCCACTCCGCTCTACACACTAGAAACACACTCAAGCTGACAACTCCAGGTACAAAGAAACTTGGCACCAGGGCAGAGAGCTGATATTTAACAGTGTTTTCACAATGCAGCTCCTTTCTGGAACAGTTGAATTTCACCTCACAATGCCACAGCTTCCGCAGCCTTGTTATAGACCCCCTCCCTCTCTCTATCGCTTCCTTTCTCTCGCTGACCTCCCGATCAACCCAACTAGCACTCACGTCACGTAGTCATTCCAAACGCCATCGACCTCCCGAGCCTCACTCCCACCCATCACAAACTGCACCTGTCTGCTCCACGACACCCACACAGCGCGGTGCTCCGCAACTAATACCCAGCGCATCGACACCCGGAGCTCTAGAAAAGAGACTAGTCTACCGCTTCGATCAGGCGCACAAACAGACCCAGGATCCTGCAGAGCCCGAGTTCTGAGGGACTTCAACAATGCGTTCCACGCGAGGGAAGCGCGGAAAGACACAAGGGTAGGAAAAAAATAAAAATAAAAATAAAAGAAGGAGAAGAAGAAGAAGAAGAAGAAGAAGAAGGCACCTACAAATTGGGGACCCGCGGGTGGGATCTCGAACCAGAAGGGAAAGCGAAACTCGCAGCATGGGGCGGCACAGCTCGAGGGGGAGGGACCTTCGGAGACAGACCATCTTGATCAAGCGAGCACGAAAATGGGATGTACCACGTCGATCTGCCTCCTTTGCGTCGTTGGACCCACATCGAGATCCAAGGAGCCTGGATGCAGCCCCCGTCGCCATAACGAAATTAGTCCATTTCTCCTTTATATAAGTCCCACCCAATTTAGTGACAGGGTTACTAAGTTGGGGGTAAGACTGTTGTGCCTCACTGTATTTGAATAGATTTCGCATTCCAGACCCCACTCGCCCCATGTAATCCTTAATTCAGCACGCGATTCAGTGGAAATCTCCAACCTTTAGCACTCTCCAATCTTCAGTAGAATATCCCGCCCTTGTGGCCATAGTTTGATAGTTCGACAGAGAGAGAGAGAGTTCTCTGTGGATGAAGAGTTCTCCCTGTGCATAAATTGGGTGGGTTTCTTTGAACAATACAAAAAACACACATTTGCAGTCAGTGGACTGTTAATTATTTCACCAATATTTCATAAACCCTACATGTCATATGACGAAGAGGTTGTTCACCCAATAGTAGTAACCTATAACCTCCTGGATGAGTTACATTCATTCACATTTACTATATTGTGAGATCTTTGGTATTCCTTTAGCTATAGTGTGTGTGTGTTTGGTGGAGATTGGGGGTTTTTGGCATGACACGAGTTTTCATTGACGCCATGCCAAAAGCCTCCTTTTCCTTTGTGATCACCTTTCTTCTTTTCCTCGGCACCATTCCTTGAGCTTTGAACCCCACCTCCTTTTGCCTTTTTGATCTTTGGACACTGCCATGGCTGTTGGTATTAGTGCTGTGTTTTGAAGGAGGGAAACTTGCCTTTGCTTATTTGGCAACTAGAATACTGAAGCAATATTTTGTGGAGAAAAAGGATGCTATTAGAGGGGGTAACTTTCACGACGACGAAAACAAAGCAAGTAACTCCATTCCAAGGAAGAAAAGCTCAGAAGGAAAGGGAGCATTTGGAGCTGTAGTAGTGAAAGGGAGAAAAAAGCATGTGAACACCGAGTCCATCTCAATGCAAATCTAGGAGAACTGAGCCTTCGGATGATATTTTGTGCCGTTTTATAGATGAATGATTATCGTTGCAAGAAGGGATGGATGTGTTGCTGGGTTTTAACATACATGCTCCCCACTGCCACCGACCACTCTCCTTTTTTGTTTACAGTTGAACAGCCATCAGGAAGCCCTAATCCATCCTTTAGCAAACCCTAATTTTCTGAATGCCCATTCTCGAAGTTCGCTAACTATGGTTAATTTGTCAATCCATAGTATGATTATGCTAGGAATCAGTTTTTGATTAAGACGCTCTAATTTTGATTGCTAGTCATCTGGAAAATAGGTAGTTTTTTTTTTAAGTGGTTTTGATATCTCATCCGGTGTATCATCAATTCAAAATAAAATATAATAGTGGGTGTATTCATAGATTTAAAGTTGTGGCTTCTAGTGAATGTAAAGTAATACTCTTTATTAGAATATTAATAAAAGAAAGGATTGTTTTAAAAATCAAAGACTTCAAAGTTCATTAATGATGCAACGTAATTGTGTTTCATCAATCTTGTACCATACAATCAATTTTGTTTTAGTTGATTTTTCATACAAAATTGAATGATTAGTTGGGCAGATTGAGGGTTTCATTGTTGTTCAATGGTTTTAATCTCAGTGGTAGTTTGATGTTTTCCTAGTGAACCAAGAATTACAAAAAGGCTCTGACAACATTTAATTTAAAGAATGTAACAGTATCAATTATATGTTATTGAGTTTTGGAACATGTATATGAGTTGCTAAAAACACACATACCTAATGATTGTAAAACATTAATGATGATCACTGGTTAAAGAAATAAATGGTATATGTTTTGTCTTGAGTAAGAATTTCCTGATATGATATGATATTTAAAATGTGAATATGTTTAAATTGGTTGGCATCCAATTGTGTTGACAATATAGTTCCACAACTATTTTTGCTAGATATATTGAATCAGTTTCTTTAAAACTTTCTTTCATTTAACTAAAACTTTTTCAAATTCAATTTAATATGATTTATTTTATATTAGTTAAATAAATAAATATACATACATACATACATACATACACATACATTCTTATGTAATATTCTTATTTTTATGATGTTGTTTCATACAAATGATATAAATCCATTTTTCTAAAACATCAAATATTTTTTATGAAATTTTAGCAAAAGTATGTATGGTTGTTTTAGATTATAACTACTCATATAACTTTTTTAAATACAATAAACTAGGTTTTTTTTTTTCAAAAAAAAAAAATTAAAGTTGATTATTTGAATTTCAACTAGTGCAATATATATATATATATATATATATATATATATATAAATATATATATTGAAAAAATAAAGTGAAATCTCATGTACATGTTTTTTGATATATATATATATATATATATATATATAAATATATATATTTTGAAAAAATAAAGTGAAATCTCATGTACATGTTTTTTTATTAATATATATATATATATATATATATATATATTTTCATCAAATTATTGCAAAAATTTACAAACATAAAGATTAATATTGTTTGTGATTATATTATTGTGCCCATGAGGTGTTTCAGAATATCACAACACATTCAACATTAGATATTTCAGTAGAATAAAACATAAATTTAAGAAAAATAAGGAAATATTTGTTTAAGTTAAATTTGAAATATTTAAAGGTTCTACTTGTTATCAACTATGCATTGTATTGCAAGATATTATTGGCACATGTATCTTGTGAAGCAAGCCATTTTCAAGAGAAGGTTTGAATGTATTAAAATATTACCAATTGAACTCAAATGCTGTGATTACTGTGTGAATTTGTAAAAAGTTAAATGGTTTTGATCTTCACAGGTTTTCTGTTATTTTTTCTTTTCTCTTCTTAAAAATATAATGTATGATTTGAAACCATTCAATAACTATTTGATTGGAAGTATCCTAAGTATTGAAAATTTTAAAAATTATTATTTGAATAAAAAAAATCATTACTACATATTTTCAGAGAACCATTAAGTATACACCATGTGTCATGCACCCATGCATACATACAGTAATTTTTTTATTTACACTAAAAAGTTTTATAGTAACTTTAAAGTAAAAGATTTGTATGCAATGTCTTGTTTCTTTTTCTTTTTCTTTTTTAGTGACCAATAAGAAAATAATTTTGGAATAATATATATATATATTACATATTACTCAAAATCTATCCTAAAAATTTTTAGTGTAAATAAGAGTTTCATTGTGAGTATGCAAAGGGTGTAAAGTACAAAGAGGGGAGAGGGTGTCTATGCACTAAAGGGGGGGAGGGGTGTTCACCTAATAGTTTTCTATTTTAAATTACAAACTTGTCAATCAATATTTAACCCAACTTCAAAATCAAGACAAAATATTGAACTATCATAATATAAGTCATATTTTTTTATGACTTCTAAATTTTCTATTTTAGAAATTTGTAAAAAGTAGAAAAATATCTATTTCATATCACAATTTTGATCTAAGATTTTTGCCTGTTTTTAAAAATATATTATTATTATTATTAAATTATCATGTATATATGTATATATATATATATATATATATACACATATTTTTGGCTTTATAAGTTATTAGTTTATTTTATTACTAAATAGATAGATAAAATATATGATATTTATTTGTTTTTAAAAATATAAACATTTATTATTATATAAAGAGTTATATCACTTTCTTGCTTAATGTTACAATTACTTTTATTTTACCATTATTTTTTATTTGTATTAATGCTAACTTACTTGTTATATCTGAGATATTTAATGTTAAAAATAAATTATAAATTAATTATTTTTATCAAAATATCATATATTGAAAGTTTTTTAATCAAAATCTTCTTTAGCCCTTTATTATTATATGTAATTTATTAAAAGAGGTATTCAAAAGTTATCTGTACCACATAAATTAATGTCCTCAACAAGAACTATTATAACAAATACACCAACTTTATTAGTATATATTTTTGTTGCATAACACAATTTAGTTAATTAATTAATTTGTTTTGTTGTATTCAAAAGATGTCTTAATAAATGGTCTAATAAATTATAATTTTTTTGAATATTTTAAAAAATATATTAAATCTATAAGATATTAAAAATTAAAATAATTATTTTATCTTGATACTTAAATTAAAATTCATTTTTTAAATTCTAATTAGGAGATAAAAATTTCAAAAAAAAATATTCAATTGCATAGAATAAATATCAAGTTTTGGAAGGCTTGAAATCTTTGTGAATTTTTTGAGATATAAAATTTTAATTCACTATCTTACATTAATAGGTAAATTTTATTTCTATATTAATTTTAATTTAAGTATCATAGTAACCTTTAACATATGCTCATCCAATCTATATATTCATCTAAGTTATATATATATATATATATATATATATATATATATATATATTTTGAATGTGGTTATATGTCTTAATTTGATAAAAAAATAAGGATATTTTGCTTATAATTTTATCCTTGAGCAATAAAATATGACCAATGTAACAAATTTACTAGGCTAAGTATATTCTATAGAAATTTTTTCTAGTACACAATAATCTATTGATAAATATTGTCTTTGATGATATATATTATCTAAGTAATCATCCATCAAGAATAAAACTCTTTCAATTGGTTTAAAGCTTGGCATAATATGATTACAATAGCACCCTAGTATAAGCTAGAAAGACATCTCTTCTATATTATAATGTCACTTCAACATTATTATCAATATATGCATTAACATGTCACTAATTGCAATATGGTATCAAAGTATCTTTAAGTTCATCTACCTTTAATACTCGTCCAATCTTCTTGATTTAAGATTTAGATCTTAGGATCTTCATCTTCTTTGTCTTTTTGCGTTCATTTAAGAGTTTGTTTTCACTAACAGAGATGTATTCAAGAGTTCAAAGTTATAAGGAACTTCCAATTATGTCTTTGGTCCTACAAGCTTAAGACATTCATACAAAGAGAAAAGTTGTGGTAC